CAATGTTATATATGCCATCATGTGCCAGCAATGCCCCTCTGCTATGTACATTGGCCAAACTGGACAGTCACTACGCAAGAGGATAAATGGACACAAGTCAGATATCAGGAATGGCAATATACAAAAACCTGTAGGAGAACACTTCAACCTCCCTGGCCACACAATAGCAGATGTAAAGGTAGCCATCTTACAGCAAAAAAACTTCAGGACCAGACTCCAAAGAGAAACTGCTGAGCTCCAGTTCATTTGCAAATTTGACACCATCAGATCAGGATTAAACAAAGACTGTGAATGGCTATCCAACTACAGAAGCAGTTTCTCCTCCCTTGGTGTTCACACCTCAACTGCTAGCAGAGCAACTCACCCTCCCTGATTGAACTAACCTTGTTATCTCCATACTGATTTATACCTGCCTCTGGAAATTTCCATTACTTGCATCTGAAGAAGTGAGGTTCTTACCCACGAAAGCTTATGCTCCCAATACTTCTGTTAGAGCTGGAAAAGAGATCCAGGGATTTGATTCTTCCCAGTCTTTCAGTGTTACGGCTTTTAGCTCTGCTTTGGGCACATTTCCTGTGTCAGCTCCTATAAACAGCTAATATGAAACTAATAGCATCTTCCATATTGTAATAACTGACCTCTGCTTTCATATGCAGACAGTTCTAGGTACTGAGGACTAGTTACACTTTGTTCAGCATACTGAGGACACAGTTTGCTGGTATATCAGCTTTACAACTATCTGTTAGTAGAGAGCAAGGAAACCTGAATGGCATGAAGAATTTTATTTGGATTTTAGGCATTACCGATTAAGGTCAGGGCTGGCTTCTCCACTGCACCTGGCTAGTGGATGTTCATCAATAAAGTATTTATAAATGCAATACTATGTATATACTGATTTAGTGTCTAACAATCAACTTGTTTTTGGAGAGAAGATATTCAGGGTCTGAAGATCTTATTTGTTGGAGCTGGTATCTTCTTAGAAAATACTCTGGGAAAAAATGGTTTGCAAATACAAGTACAATTTTTATGGGAAGTTGTATTTACTTTGAAGCTGTTCAAAGCTCAGCCCAGATTTATCAGAGACCTCATATAAGAAACCTTTCTCCTCCTGTTATTTATAAAAAATATTTCCTGTATTAAATAATAAATATCCGCTAAGTTGGGCAGAATATAACTTTTTATCTTGTCATGTTGTCTTCCATGCCTTTAAGTGTGGTTATTTTTTAAAAGAGACCTTGGAAAAATGGCAACATTTTACTCAAAAGATCTGTTCTTGTGCATCTTCAGAGTAACAGCTATATGTGTCACTGACAAATATTAAATTTTCCTGTACTTCAGAGCTAACACAGCTGTAAGAGGGAACAGGAGTTCCATCTACTGATAATGAAAAAGAAGGAATTGTTGAAGTACTGTGCTCCTATAAATATGTATTCCCATTGAAACTATCAAGGTCAGAAAATCATTCCTAGGAAGAAAATGTAAATTTCTGGGTCTTGAATTTTGACTAGCTGTTATGGGGAGGGAAGGAGGTTGGAGGAAAAACTACTTATCTCATTAGATGATATGTCAGGTACAGGAAAGCTATCAAAATTAAGGCAGAAAAACTTAAAGGACATGAGTAGTTTTTACCGATCTAGGAATATACAGCCTGATTCTTCTTTTAAAAGGACACCAGTGATGGTTTTTTTTTTTTTTTTTTTTTTTACTACTACCTTATTTAGAGTGCATGTTCCTCACAGCAGAAACTATGTAGTCTTCTGTACCTAGTACAGTGCCAAGCATAATTATCAGAGTTTAATAAATAATAAACTGTGGCTTGAATAATCTTGTTACCTGGTCCACTGTCTCTCCTCCCCCATCCCCATCCCTTTATTTTGTTGATTCTTTCTTGTATTATTTAGATTGTAAGCTCTTTAGGGCAGGGACAAAAGACTATCTCATTCTGCTGTAAGGTGCCTGGCATGTGTTTGAACTCAGTAAAATAAATAAATGACTATAGATAAACTCACTTGGGTGTAATATGAGTTAAATGAACAAATAACAAATCATTGTTTTAGAAAATCTTGTGTGTGTGTGTGTGAGAGAGAGACAACTGTGTAATCCCAGGGGCTTGCTGTTTTAGAGCCAGAGTCTGCTCTATTACATTGCAATGAATATTGTGTAACTCCATTGACTTCAGTGTATCTTTCTTCAAAGTAGTTATTCCAGATGTACAGCAAAGTAACTGAGATCAGAATCTGGCTCTTAATGATTCCAACAAGAAATGCACTCAAATATGTTTCAAGCAGAGATCAGAGTAGCAGTGTTATGCAAACTACCTCCTCCTCACCACAGACTCAAAAATCTGGAAAGTCAGCAGAAAAAATAAAAGCTGTGGAAATCTTCTGTTCCGTTCTTTGGGCTGCATCTCTTACAGTCCTGTCCTGATGTGTCATCAGTCTAAATAATATGGCTGCTTTGTTTATTTCTTTTATGTGCATGTATATTAGAGAAATATTCTGTCCTTTTTTTAAGAAATGGCTGCATAAAGTCAAGTATCAAAATCCATACTTAAGCACCTAACTAAGTGGCCTGCTAACGACTCATAGTTCCCAGTGAGAATTGATAGTGAAATTTGCTACATAAAGCAAAGCCATATTCAGGCGTCTTCTTTTTCTTTTCTCCTCTCTTACAGGCGATATGGATTGTGGTTCCGATTACGGAAGTTGTTAATATGGTTGTTGGGAGTATACATAGCCATTCCATTTCTAGTAAAAATTTGTCCTGCTATTCAGGTGAAGCTGGTCTTCTTAAATTTTGGTAAGTGTTCATGACTTTTTTCTCTATATATATTTTTTTAAAAAGTGAAGCTGATAGGACTATTTTTTTTGCCAGAGTTGCTTTGAATTTTTTTTTAGCAAATCAGACACTGTATTTGTCTTCCTACTTGTGTATGTTAATGTCTGACAATCACACCCATGTGTGACAAATGTGTATTGGTTTCCCCTACTTTGTCCTGTGCCAAAAAGCTGGAAAAATCCTTTGTCTGTTGTACTTCAGCCAGATAAGGTGTAGGTTGTTGGCTGCTTTTTCATAGGTGGGGCAGCTGTATTTTTGGTGTCCATCAAAATTCCCTGGTGGGAACTGCCCAAAATAATTAGCAAATAGAAACACTTCTGTGCATTTAAGAAGCTCTGAATTTGTTTAACTGATGTGATATTTCCCCCCCCTATCCAGTTGTGGTTTTGTGAAGGACATGCCTTTTTATATCATTTGTGAATTATGAGGCAGGTAGCCTCTTCAAGTTTATGGCTTAAATGCTAATTGTGAGTAACAGTATGTTTTTTATATAGATACAGCAACCAAACTCCAATTAGCCTCTTAATCTGAAATGATCAAAGACTATACCTGTGGGAAAAGAAAACAAAGTAGAATGTAATCTGTAAAGGGATTATTAAAGATGCATATGGAGAGCATTCAGATGATCAAGATCCTATTTCAGTTGAAAACAATTGAAATTGTCAACAGTGCGTTAGTCTTCCAGCCTGCAGTTCCTCACCCAAAGGCATTTTTAGGAAAATATACTGGCTATAGCAGAAGAAACAGTGACTCGTCAGTGGCAAATTTACACCATCACTTCAAGTGTTGCAAATACTACTGCATAGGATTTTCCGTCTGATCAGATCAGCAGTCTGCTTAGTCTTGTATTGCCTCAAGCCTTGTCTCTGCTACAAATGCTTTTCCAGCATAGCCATACCACCAGAGTCCCCTGTGTAGACGCAGCTTATACTGACAAGGAGTTTTTCTGTTGGCATAGTAACACTTTTCCCGAACAAGGTTAGCTGTGCTGACCGAAGCATTCTTCTGGTAGCTGCATCGAGGCAGGGGATTTTGCCAGCATAGCTGTATTGGCCTATGTGTGGGAGTACGGGTGGGGAGGGGGTTGTTTCCCGACCACACCCACACCCCCGACTAGCACCTGTACTGACACAACTGCCCTAGACACGCTAACTCCGTGCTTGACTCTCTCACCACCAAAAGTTAGTCCAGTACAAGATACTATTACCTCACCCACCATGTCTCTTTAAGAAATCAGTTAGTTTTAAATAGAAAACATGTTTGGATAAATATTTTTCCTTCGGTAACCAGCAAACTTAAAGTAGTTTTATTTAACTAATAAACAAAAATGCTGTTTTGTGTATTTTTAATTGAATTTCCATCCAAATAGAATTTGACACAAATCACAAGTAAAATATTATTTATCACTTAGGGGGAAAAAAGTATGAATTGCCATTTCCTAATATAATTAAAATTGTGTATAGATCTAGCATATCCTCCTGCTTAGCAAAAAGAAGCATCAAATGTAGTGTAAAGCATATATTTAGTTGCAAATTAACATGTTTTAATGGTTACTAGTAAACGACTATCTTTCTTTAGGAAAATAACTAAAACGTACAAGTGCTAAAAAAAGAAAATAAATTACTTAAATCAAGGTTTCCTAATTGCTGATTTAAATAGTGATTAGAATCAGTGATTTTTAAATCATTTTGATTTAAATCAATCTACCCTGACAAAGAGTGTGTGTTTGTGTTTGTGTTTGTGTTTGTGTTTGTGTTTGATGATTACCTGTTCAATGCCAGGTGCCCCAGAGGGAATGGCCACTGTTGGAAGACAGGATACTGGGCTAGATGGACCTTTTGATCTGACCCAGTTTGGCCGTTCTTATGTAAATATAAAAATTTCAAAAACAATGCTTTTCCCAGTCTGATTTTTACATGTCTCAAGTTACAGGGCTTCCACTTGAAAGACTGCTCCCAATTTAATGTCTCTCCACCGTGAGGCTGAATATCAGGAAAAGCTCCTTGAATTTCCTTTTTCCTCATTTCATCCCATTACTTCTAGTTTTATCCGTTTGTACCATTCTGAGCAATTCATTTCCCTCCTTGATGCTTATACCTTCCCAGTACTTGTTGCCAGTTACCCATTTTCACCTGGGACAAAAGGTCTTTCTGGCGCAACAGATAAATGTAAAATTATTCTCCAAACATGCTGCGGTTTTCTGGACAGGTTTTAGAGTTGCATTGCAATTAGCACTGTTGACTTGCAAGAAAATAGAATGTAAAAGTTCAAGTTTCTGACCTTTTACTCTTCCCTTTGTGTTTCAGTGAGGGTTCCATATTTCATTGACTTGAAAAGGCCACAGGATCAAGGTTTAAACCACACCTATAATTATTACCTTCAGCCAGAGGAGGATGTAACCATTGGAGTCTGGTATGTAGGATTATGCTCCCCCTGACATCCCTTAGCATGTCCTCCGCATCCTTAGTGTGGAGATTGTACTTTGCATCCCAGTGCAGAACCCTGTCTCTCAACAACTGTCTTTCTAGTCAATGGTCGTGACCATTGTTTGTTTTCATCTGTGCATGTGTGTATCTTTCTCCGCTTAGGGGTGGAGTCCATGCTAAAAGGTAAGTAAATCTCTGGACCTCAACTGAACTAAGTTTTAGCAGCCTGTGAAACACAGACAGATCATGAATGCAGGGAAGTTTTCTAATTTGGAAATGTGAAGGTGTTGCTCTGCATTGCTAGACTGGTTATGTCCCTGGAATGTAGAGGCGAGCTGATGAATTCAAGGTTTGCTCATCATCCATGTCTTGTTCATGTTCTTCTGTTTTGTAAAATCAATGCAGCGGAAGGTAGAAACAGAGTATTCAGAGTGTGGGAGGAGAAATGTTCTCTAGAGAGTGAGGGAATGAAAAGGCTTTGCTCACATTCTAACCAACACAAATCAGTATTGGTTGTTTTTTTTTTTTTTTTTTTTTTTAACTGAATTTCAGTTGTCACTTTTTAGCTCATGGAGGAGAACTTAAGGTGCTTAACTATAGACAGCTTCTTGCATTCTCAGTGAGTCATCTGAGGCTTACAGATGATGTGTCTGGTGCTGCATAAACATTTTTTGAGCCGGCTAGCTTTCAAGGTGACTAGTCTAGTGAGTTAGTTTTGTACATCTGCCTCTACTGATAGCTTTCTATTCTCTCTCATTGCCCCTGGTTTTTTTTTTCTTCAACTATTTTATAACCATGAAGAAAGTTCCCTCTGGCTTAAAAAGAAGAGAGATCACTACAGAGTTAACAACGAGGAGTCCAGTCGCACCTTAAAGACTAACAGATTTATTTGGACATAAGCTTTCATGGGTAAAAAACCCACTTCTTCTCCATGCATCTGAAGAAGTGGAGTTTTTACCCACGAAAGCTTATGCCCAAATAAATGTGTTAGTCTTTAAGGTGCCACCGGACTCCTCATTGTTTTTGTGGATACAGACTAACACGGCTGCCCCTCTGATACTCACTACAGAGTTGAGATGTATGTAAGAGTAGCAACCAGCTAAAGAAAGGTTAGGCACTGTATCAGCTCCTGGGGGGTGGGGTGAGATGGGGCTAGTTTTTAATGATCCACCCAGTGAAGTCAAATTGATGAATCCTGGGAGTCAGTTTGAGTTTGTACTGTAGTTTGTGTGTCATCACACTGATACAGTGATAGGATGTGTGTGTGGGGGTCTTTCAATCTTGAACTGATTGGAAGAATTATCCTCTTCTGAATGGTGCAATAATAGCCTATAACATCAAATTCTTTATTTGTAATGAGGTCCACAGATCCATGACATTGGATAGTCTGATCTGTGTATCCTTGCAGGTAGACCAAACCTGTCAATCAAAGATGGGACATGTGGTTCCCCCTCTGAGAAACTGCCAGATTTTGTCGGCCTCTCCAGCTGCAGGCAGACCAGTTCCTTCCTTCTGCAGAGCAAATTTAAAGAAGAAAAAGAAGAGGGGAAAATATGCCTTAAAATCTCCAGGCAGTCAGGGTCCGCCTTTATTGGCAGAGAGGATTTTCTTTCTTCTTGGTAGCTGGGACTCTCTCTGTACCCTTGCTCGCTCAGACGGAACGCAGCCTGGCAGGAAAGGCTGAGAGAGGAAATGAGACGCTGTCCTCTGCATCTTCCCTGCTGATTGAGGGCCTGCATGGAGGTCTGTGCCTGTTCTTGGAGACCCAGGCCTTTCTCAAATGCCCAGGCAGGGGCAGGGCTTCCTACCGCCTCCCTTCCTCAGCAGGACAGCTCCCTGCAAGCAGGGGCAGCACCTTCGCGGCAAAATCCCCTGAGCCTGGCGCAGGTGACAGCAACGTTCCAGGGAACAGCAAGCGGTGGCTCCCTTGTTTTCCCCCCCCCACCACAGTGCATGGGGAGTGTAGGTTGAAGCACTGTACAGTGGGACAGGGTGGCTTTCCATCCAGCCTCTGGAGCCTGCTCTCACAGCCATGTCTGTTCACCGTGCAGCAGCTGCCCAGCCCTTCCCCTGCAACTGCTGTGGTGGCGGCAGGGAGCCAGAGACCGAGGAAAGAGAACCTGGTAAGGGGCCATTGGGGCTAACCCTTTTCTCCGTTCCACAGCATGCCCCCCGCCCAGCCCTGCCGTGCCGTGCCTCAGGGCTAGTCCTTGCCATCAGCATAAGCCCACCCCTATCTTCCAGTGCAGCAGATAACCAAGGACTCCCCTTGAATGGCCTCCTCTCCATGAGGGGAGGAGGAGGAAGAGGAGGATCAAAGGGAGGCGTGTTGTGTAGCCGTCTGAGATACCTCTTTCTTATGCCATATTGTTCTAGTTTAAAAAAAAAAAAAAGTCAGAAGGCTTCAGAGCACTTGTCGAAATCAAGTATCTCAACAGAGCCATACAATAAAATCAAACTTCGAGACAGATGGATGGCACATTAGCTTCCATCAGTAGATGTGAAGTATGCCTATCTCCATATCCCAATTTGACAATCTCTCAGATGCTTCCTAAGCTTTGCTGTCAGAACTCAACGTTACGAGTATGAGTCTTTGCCGTTTGGTTTAGCAACAGCCCTGCCAGAGTTTATGAAATTGCTAGTAATGTTAATGTCAGTCTTGAAAGGACAGGGTTTATGTTCCCCCTTCCTGGGTGGCCACCTTATCCAGGCCTCATCTGGAGTCTGTCATTTTGTGCCACCAAAGCAATAAGGATGCTGCAGAGCCACAGTTTTGTGAAAGAATCAGTTAAGGGTCTGAGTATTCCTGGTCTCTGAGTGGGAACAGGCCTGGTCCTCTACAAAGTTGCTTGTTGCAGGAAAGACAGGAGAAGTAGAGAAATCTTATGAAAGCAGTCAGCCTCTCAAGGGGAGTTCCCATTTGTACGCTTCTGTGATTGGTGGTCTTCCGCATGGATATTCTCAGTGGGCCAGTGCTCACATGAGGCCACTGCAGAGCTTCCTCCTGTCCCTGCCTACACTATCGTGGCAAAGGTATCTCAACCCAGGAAGATTCTTAGGTCATTCACGTGGGGTCAAGTTCTGGCCTCGTGATCTGGTCCAAACGAGAGCAAGCACAGCATAAACTGGCAAGAGCTCAGGGCAGTCCAACATGGACTCTTCTTCCATAGCTGGACTTATCTCAAATCCTGATCAGGACAGACCACACTAGTCAGTCATACAGACATCAACAGACAAAAGGAACAAGGTCTACACTCCTTCAAAGAGAGACTCACTTCCTGATGACTTGGGCAAAGGAGAATCTGCAATCAACTTGCTCCCTTCACGTCCAAGGCAGAATTGAATGTTACAGGTGACCTGGATCAGTAGGCAGGAGTTAAATCATCCAGAATGGGAGCTACACCCAGAGGTGTTTCATCTCCTGGTAAAGAAGCTTACGCCTGGTTTATACTAGAAAATTAGGTTGGTTTAACTACTTCAGTCGGGGTGTGAAAAATCCACACCCCTGAATGTGTTAAGCTCACCTAAGTCTCCGTGTAGACAGTGCTAAGTCAATGGAAAAATTCTTCCATCGACCGAGGTACTGGCTCTCCGGGAGATGGATTATATATGTTGACAGGAGAACCCTACCATCAGTGTAGATCGTGTCTACACTGAAACACTACAGCGGCGCAGTTATGCTGCTGTCGCATTTTAAGAGTAGACATATCCTTAGTCTGCTTGCCTCCCACCTGAAATACAAGGTTTCAGTATTCTTCTCTTGGGATCACAGAGCCAAGGCAACAGGTGCCTTGTTGTAGCGATGGCCAGAAGGGACTGATGTTTGCCTGTCTTCCCCAGAGTGCTACAGAAGATCAGGAGAGAAGCAGCACTGGTAATTCTGGTAGCCCCATTGTGGCCAACAGGCCTTGGTTCGCTGATCTCATTACATGGTACCAAGTCCTCCCATCTGCTTTCCATCCAGAAGGGATATGCTGTTACAAGGGCCAGTCATGCTTCAGGTTTTTTAACAGAGCCTCTTAAACCAAAGAGGTTATTAGCTTCCAGGAATAAATCTAATTCAGCAGATTCAAGGGCCTGGTTGAGCTTTAACCATTGGTGCTAGGAGCAGGGTCTCACCCCCCACATCTACATCGGTGTGACATAGTCTCAGATTTCTTCAAAATGGACTCTGGTTAAGTCTGGCAGTTCAGACTTTCAAAGGCCAAGTTGCTGCTTTGTCTGCTATGCTTAGTGCAATAAACAAGTAGTGAATTTCATCTTACCCAGATGTCCAGCATTTCTTATGAGAGCTGCATCTCTTCTACGTCCTCTTGATGTGCATCAAGTTCTTCTGTGGGATCTTACCTGGTTCTCAGGATCACTACAGGCCCTTTATTTGAACCACTTGTGAAGGTGTCCCGTTACTTTCTAACCATTAAAATGGCCTTTTCTGATGACAGCCATGTCTCATAGCAGTTTGAGTTGGGAGCTTTTTTTTTTTTTTTTTTAAGCCTCAATACTGCATGTTCCATAAGGCTAAAGTAGCACTCTGAACTGATCCTGCCTTCATACCAAAGATTAACTCCAGGCTCCATAGAGCACAAGAAATTATTCTTCCATCCATCCTTCTCTCCTGTTTGGTGATTACAGAGAAAACACTTACTGATTACAGTATCACATAGGATAAAGATGATATAAATGAGATTAAAATAGCAGTGTAGACACACCAGCCCAAGTCGGAACATCAAACGTTGCTATTTTTAGTCTCATAGTCCAAACCAGGGCAATTGACCCGGGCTCTGAGACTTGGTGCTGTGGGTTTTTCTTTGAAGTGATGACATACCCAGGGAGTGCTTAGTTTTTTCTGAGGCTATGGAAATGTCTCAACTGGCTCAGAGGTGGAGTTACACCTCCCTGACCGCTGACACGTTTGGTCTGCCTCTAAGCCTGTATAGAGCCCAAGACCCAATATCCTGGATCTGTCGACTTCATTACTCCAAAAAAGGAAATTTTGGGGCAAGACATGGATACTTTTTCCTATTCTTTGCCTTAAAGGAGAGCTTTGGTGAAGACTACTTTTAGAAGCCGAATCTTGAGCTTTCCCAAGCTAGATGGGAAAATGACAGCAGCTGGCCTGACTCTGCCTACTTGTATTGTAACTACTGAGCTATAGTATAGTACAAATGGATTGAAAAGTACGGATCTGTAGCATGTAGTGTTTGCTGTTTCAAAGGCTTAGTTCTTATCTAAAATAATTTGTTTGTGCATTACATGTGTCCGGCTGCACTTGAGTCCTACTGAAGTAAACAAATCTCTGATATAGAGTGTGAAAAGTTGAGTAACCAAGCAATACTAACTTTCTAGGCACACAGTTCCTGCAGCCTTATGGAAAGATGCTCAAGGCAAAGGCCAGCCGTGGTATGAGGACACTTTGGGATCCAACTATCCTGTAATCCTTTACTTGCACGGAAATGCAGGAACTAGGTAAGGAACAAGCATCAGTTATAAAGAGGGATAGCATTTCTTTGATTTTATGTATTCTTGTTTACATTGGGTTGCAAGATCGGACCAAATAATGCCAGAGCAGTTTTTCTGTGGGTTAAAAAATAACACCTGTTTTTAAAAATGGAAATACTTTGGATTTAATAAGTGCGGGGAAGGGAGAACTGACTATTGTTGGACTTACTGCTGGAATGAGTTGTCATCAGTTGCCTTTCCAATGCATTGTCTATCATGCTCCTTCATCCAGAGGTTTGGATATGAGAGGGACAGGATGCGTGTTCCTTATGCTTCTCGGAGTGGCAAGAGGCTTTCGAACTTACTGGGCCAAGTGTGGGAGGGAAGGGAGCACTCATTTCCAGCATTGTCAAATGTCTGGCCATGTAAATGACGGTATGAAAATAGCAGCGAGAAGTTGGCTATGCCAATTTTCTTATATGCTGCCGAAACACAAATGCCAGCTGCTGCCGTTAGTTCATTTTATAATTTCATAATGTTGAGGAAAGGAAAACAAAGGCAGAGGGAGCAGGCTAGCGAGTCTGGCTCAAACCAGGCAGGGCACTGAAGTCCTAAGCTGCCAGAGCAGGAAAGCAAGGGTAGAAGTAGTCTTGGCACATCAGGTAGCAGCTCCCAAGGGGGGTTCTGTGATCTAACCCGTCACAATACCTATTTCTGTGTGTAAATTCTCAGGGCTTTGTTCTGGGGTGCTAAAAACCATTATCAGATGTGTGGAATAGCTTACCATCCTAGCTCTGTATTGTAGCACTTTGACTTTCCCGTGGGTGGGGCGTGTGTGTGTGTGAGTGTGTCTTTTTCTTTATCAATCTGTATATTCCAATGAGTATTGGCACATTTCAGAGTTCATTAACACTCATGTACTTTCAAAGCCAACATCCATTTTAGAGAGTGTCTACACTACAGGGAACACAATTATAACAAAGCTGTCTCCTGACCTGCTTTAGTATGACTGTGGAATACTATTAAGGTTCTTTGTGCACTTCCAGTTACAATAGTGATGTAAAGCAGAGTCCCCTGATTTGGTTGTACTGGTAATGAAGGTTCTATTGCATCGTAATAGCCTTTTCATCTCAGGAAGGGCTCATTTTTCTGTCCAAATTGTTGTTTTAGCAGTGTCTTATTCCATACAAAAACCTAAGGCAATGGAAGATAAGTTTGCAAGGCTAAGCACTCTGAACTCATGAAATGCATGAGCAAACTCAACTTTGGCAACCTTTTGTGCATATGTATTACAGTACAATCGTCAATTATATGATCCTGCTGTTTCTGATCATCCAATTTTTTCTTACAACCTTGTATTCACAGTGTAGCATCTTGTAATAATGGAAGCTGTTACCAGGACCTACATATAATATACTGATTAGAGTCACTGCTTGGCAACTCCGGGTGTCACAAAAATTAAAAGCTGAACTATGGAATCATGCATGCATTTCACAATTCTTTTCCAGTGCTAAGAAGAAAATGCTGCAACCTGATTCTCTTTGCCATTCAGTTCTATGTCCTTCTACAGTGCACACCCAGATACACATAACTTACTGTTAAAAATGCTGAAATCCATAAATATTGCAATTTTGTGTCTGCTAGCCACTGAGGTGTGGAAGAAAAACCCTAAAGCAGTTTGTGGACTCTGAGACAAGATACATGTCACTTTGCTGTAGAATATGCCTTTTAATGTAATGTAGGAAAATACATCAAAATGATCAGTTATATTTCTGAACCCGGGTGGCTGTGAAGGATCAAGGGGAAGGACAGTGGATAGAAGTACACCAGAACATCACTCTTCATCCTTATTGTTCTTTTTTTGTGTGGAGAGAGGGTTTTTCCGCCCCTCATTTTGCTCCCTATTGTTTGAACGCACTGCTTAACCACTGATTCTGAGTTGCAGCAGCTTTTCCTCTAGCTGACGAAGCTAGAAGCAGCTTCCTTTGGATCATGTCTATACTATCTCAACACTGGCCAAAAAGGAGTCTGAGAGTGTTGGGTATCTGGGCAAGTTTAGGGCACATACTTTGATTTCCTTATTACAGTGTTGTGCTGTTGGTAGATGACCAAGCTAGTGTGCCAAGGTATCTTTCTAATTGGAGAAGACTGTATTTGTGACTTAGCTGCATGAACTGAAGGCTCAAGGTCATTTGTAGTCTGCTAGGGGTTCTGGGACACAGCTGTATGAGGACAAACTAACTTGCAAAAGGACATCAGTCAGGCTAAAGTATGTAGCTTCCCCAGTAAATATTCCTACTTGCCCCCTGAATGTATTGTTTGGTTTGAGATGGAGTGCGTTTTTTTTTTTTTTAAAAAATCCAACCCTTACGATTCTTTCCAGTCACTGTGCATTAATACCAACAGAGCCACTGGATCTCATGGCAGGCCTAGGTGTGTTTGTTTTCAGAGGGAAATCTACAAGGCAAAATATTAATGCTGTGCCCAAGTTAAACAGTCCAGTAAGTGAAACTAGATATTTTAGCAGCATTTTTACATCAGTGCAGCATCTGAAGCCAAATCTGTTAACACTGCTTCACTGGAGATTCTGCCATGGATTAGCAACATGATTTGCTAATACTGAAATCTTAAGGTTAAGGACAAGTTGAGATTTAACTTTAAAATCATTCCTGATAGAGTTGGCTTGGCTCATTGCCTGTTGGATTTTTTGGAGTGCGTGTCACAAACCAGCGAAAACTTTCATTTTCTTGGTAGACCTGGAATTTCCTCTGCATATGTTTTTACTTGTTTGTGGGAGTTGGGCAGGAAGACAATGTTTGGAATGAATGCTTGCTGTGTCGTCCAGTGATGAAACTAAGGGTTGTTGCCTTCTCAAGACAAATGGCCAAGTAGTTAGGTAAGGTATACCTCTACCTCAATATAACGCGACCCGATATAACACGAATTCAGATATAACACGGTAAAGCAGTGATCTGGGAGGGCGGCGCACTCCGGTGGATCAAAGCAAGTTCAATATAACGCAGTTTCATCTATAACATGGTAAGATTTTTTGGCTCCCGAGGACAGCGTTATATCGAGGTAGAGGTGTATTTAGAATAATAGAATATCAGGGTTGGAAGGGACCTCAGGAGGTCATCTAGTCCAACCCCCTGCTCAAAGCAGGACCAATTCCCAACTAAATCATCCCAGCCCGGGCTTTGTCAAGCCGGGCCTTAAAAACCTCCAAGGAAGGAGATTCCACCACCTCCCTAGGTAACGCATTCCAGTGCTTCACCACCCTCCTAGTGAAATAGTGTTTCCTAATATCCAACCTAGACCTCCCCCACTGCAACTTGAGACCATTGCTCCTTGTTCTGTCATCTGCCACCACTGAGAACAGCCGAGCTCCATCCTCTTTGGAACCCCCCTTCAGGTAGTTGAAGGCTGCTATCAAATCCCCCCTCACTCTTCTCTTCTGGAGACTAAACCATCCCAGTTCCCTCAGCCTCTCCTCATAAGTCATGCGCTCCAGACCCCTAATCATTTTTGTTGCCCTCCGCTGGACTCTTTCCAATATTTCCATATTCAAAATGTATATTTGTAAAATATCAGCATTTGTCCATATTTAATTAGAGACCCGGAGAAAAAAGTACAACTCTGAAGATATGTGTCTTTGGAAGCTTAAATACTAATGTCTTTTCCTCCTCTTTCCCTAAATTTCCTTTCACAGAGGAGGGGATCACCGGGTGGAACTTTACAAGGTAAGTGACTCCAAACTGTTGCATTATACAGATTGAGCAAATAAAAGCACTAAACCTGTCATCACAAAATATCCTGGTCTTATTGTACTTTTCTATAAAACGAACCATAGTTCTACTATTCCTTAGTGACAAGCCTGTGAGTATTATCTCCTGGATTTATAGATTATATCCTTCCCTTTATAATTGGTATCGGAGTGCTGGTGCCTGTAAAATGATCTGATTGCCATGCTGCTTATCCTGTGAAATTCCCTTTAGCAAAGCCTTCTTAATTCAGGTCACTTCTCCAGTGCTATTTGGCAACTCAGAAGAGGCAGATGGCTGTTTCTTTTCCTCCAAAACAAAGAGCAACTGAGTTTCGGCAAGATGGCACCTAGTGTTTAAAGAGAATGTAATGAAAATATCATCTCGGTTTTTAGTTTCCTGGGGACCACTGCATACTGTAAAACATTTTCCATTTGCCCAAATGGACAAATTAGCGTTGTAGTTATTGTGTACTTGAGCAAGAAGCACAGACAATGTCTGTTTAAAAAAAAACACCACAACTCCTGAATAAATAGAGCTTGTGCATAGTCTAGTCGATATAGCAGAGGACTGAGTGTCCGGACACTTGGGTTCTAGTCCTGGCTCTGCTGCTGCCTTGCTGTGTGACCTTAGACAAGTCACTTAACCTGCCTGCCTCAGTCAGCTCATCTAAAATATGTTGCAACAGCTGGACTCAAAAATTATACTTGGTCCATTTGCCAGTGGTATGTAAAAAAGAAATCTCTGTAAGTGCATGTAGCAGCAAATTCAAATGGGCCAGGTTCTGGCCCCTTTCTTTGGGGCTGCCTGTAGGTTCTGAGCATCAGTGGAGCTGCCCAGAGTCTGGAAAATACGTTCAGGTAGTTTTCCCTAACTTCCCTTGCCCAGATTACAAATTTCTGAGCAACTTGGTGTATCTTGCAGGTTGCAGCAATGAGATCGAGATAACTTCACTCTGCTGCATGGAAAATAATGAGCATCAGATGTACGGGGATGATTATTTTGGTGGGGTATGAAGCAGATCGCTAGAAAAATTGAGACACAACAATAAGTAAGCTAGTGGACGGAGAGAGAAATGGAGTGGAACATCCCTTCTCAGCACCGGTAGTTGGGTGATGGTGCCAGGGAAGAAGAAAATGCAAATCCTTAGACACGTACCTGCTAAGACCAATATGAAAGATGGTGATGTGGGAGTGTGGACATACGTGCGATGTCCACTGACAGTGTTCTGTTGAAGTTGAGTTTCTGCCCCTTCCCTAAACACACCCTGGTGTCTTGGCATAATAATTTCTAAAGCACTTCGGGATCAGCTGATGAAAAGTACTATATAGGCACATAGTACTTACATGATTATGGATTACACTATTTAGGCAAAGGGAACTCGGTTCCCTCACACACATCCAGCTACAGAGATTGCCATCCCTATAGTCAAACAAGGGCTGTCCATGGCTCTGTTATGGTTAGTTTTAAGTAAAGAAACTTAGCCGGCAATTGCTACATGATTAAGGCTACAATTTTGTCACGGACAGCTCACGGGCATTAAACAAAAATTCACGGAAACTGTGACCTGTCCCTGACTTTTATTAAATACATCCCTGACAAAATGAGGAGGGTCCAGCACCCTGCCTTGCTGAATGCAGCGACTGGGAGCTGGGGAGGGATCCCCCGCCACCCTGCAGGGCTGGGAGCTGAGGGGGGCCCCGCTGCCTGTGGGGGTTGGGAGATGGGTGGGGGGAGGGCAGCTTCCGGAGTCCCTCCGCTGCCAGGGGTGGCTGAGGAGCTCTGGGGTGCTCCCCCGTCACCCTGCAGGGCTGGGGACCTGCGGCGGCTGGGGAGTTTGGGACCCGCGCTGGCTGGTTAGTTGCAGGGATCCCACGTCGGCTAGGCTGCTGTGGTGCCCCAATGACATGGAGGTCTCTGGAAGTCATAGAATCTGTGACTTCTGCAGCCTCCACGACGCAATCCTAGCCTTATAGGTGATTACTGTCACCCTGTTTTATTGGTGACCTTTGTTGTGGTGTTGGAGAGCTGATCCAGGCTTCTTTGTTTGCATATCACAGGCCTGTCCTATTCACAGCAGGAATTGAAACAATAAGAGCATTGTGTCGTGGAACTACATATTTATTCGACACAAGCACAAACAGTTGAAGGGAAGACATTGTCCTGTGTACCATCCAGGGACATGACAGCAAAGAGGTTCTGTTTACGGTTCTTGAAAAATGTATAAAGCCAGCCTTTCCTTTACCCGCTCTCCCGCAACGCGCCACGCTGAATATGTCAGAGTAAATCAGTCTTGTAAAGCTAATAGTCATGTGCCTGGCTCTGATGAGTGGAACAGGCCACTCTTCGTTTCAAAGTATTCACACAAAGGAGTTGCCCTGATTACTCCTACTTTCTTGTGTAGACAAGACCTAAAAATGCCAAAATAGACTTTACCCACTGCAGGTCCTTTAAAATGTTATAAGTTGGTACACAGTGATCAAGATCTGGAACTTTAACATCACTTTTACTAAGGCATTTAAAAAACAAATTCCTTTGTTAATGTGGCTATTTTTTACTTGTTTGCAACAGAATTTACAAGGGTCATCAGTGCTAAGACATAAATGTAAATCTTCATGATAATAGACCAGTTTTCTAAACAATATATTTTAGATGAGATATTTGAGCTTGTTAAGAACATTCAAAACCTAAGACAGCCTCTTCTGATCTATCATACAGGTTAATGTCATTAAACATTCATAAGCATCCACAAAATATATTCCATGTATCAGCTGGGTAGGAACAGCTTGTACATTTTGAATAATATAAATAAGGCAGCCTTTGTACTGTTTCACTGAAAAATCTAAAGGTTGGGGCGTGGGGTAGACAGCAGCAGAATTTTGAAATCCCTATTGGTAAAATAGTTCCAGAAGAGAGGCTGTAGCTGGAATGATATCCGTCTCCTTTTGGATTTTTGCTTGATTTTTCAGATTGCACTGATACAAACAAGGCAAGGTGTTGTCTATTGTTTTCCCGAACTTAAAGCTGGTGTTCATACAGATGAAAATAATGCTTCCTTAAGACACTGTCACTTGGGCAAACTATAAAGCCAAGTGAGTGAGTATCTACAGTCTCAAAGACAACATTCATGCTTCAAGGGAACATTTAAAAGACTCTAAGGCTTTTGAGTGGTTCCTCTTGTAGTTTTATTACTGGTGCTGTGCAAAAAGTGACCTTAAGCTTCAAGCCATCACATCTGGAAGAATGTGGAGTAGTGATCAAAACCAGCTGAGAGTAGGTAACAAAGAAATGCTCAGACTCCTCTGGGAGCACATGTAGAACAAATACCTCTGTGGAATGATCTGTCTATTTAAGGTACTCCTATGACTCCCATTACCATAGCAGCCAAGCACGTAGCTGTCCTTAATGTGTTTATCCTCACAATACCCCTATTGTCCCCATTGTACAGATGGGGAACACAGAGGCTAAGTAACTTGCCGATGGGCACATTGAAGTTTGTGGCAGAGCAAGGAATTGAACCCAAGTGTCATGAGTTCCAGGCTCTCACCCTGACCACGGGACCGTTCTTCCTTTCTGTTCTGAGGCTGGGGAAATAAGCAGAAACAAAATTACAATCTGAAATAATTGGGTGTGTGCAAGCCCTTGCCTGGATCATTGTATGTTCCCTTCTTCTGGATGTTGGGTCGATGCCATAAATTAGAACACGTGCTATGGAACAAAGTTCTCTATCGCTGGGTGTGACGTTTAAGTGATAGTACAGCTGTTACTCAGTTTGTGGCTGTGTGTTAAATGCTTCCTTTTTCTGTTTAGGTTCTAAGTTCCCTTGGTTACCATGTAGTCACATTTGATTATCGAGGTGAGTGTTTGTTTATTTATTAGGAAGCTGTGTTTGGCTCTGTCTGTCTTATCTAAAACTGCTACTTTTGATCTTACAGCTAACTGCTGTTTTTACAGTTTCAGAAGCTGTTACTAGTTAATTAGACGTTTCTTGAATTTTCATTGAGTTCTTAAAATCTCAGCAGAATGCATCACTTTCTCCAGTGTTTCTCTGATTTATCTTTCCCTGTGTAGCACATAAACCATGAGATCTTACTACCTTTTCCCCTTCTCAAAGCAGGTACTTATATGACCCGCATCACCGAAATATCTGAACGCCTCAGTCTTTAATGTATTTATTCTCCCCACATCCCTTTGAGGTACGGCAGTGCTATTATCCCCAGTGTATAGGTGTGAAACTGAGACACAGAGAGGCTACGTGATCTGCCTGTAGTCACCCAGGAAATCTGTGCAGAGCAGGTAATTGGACCCAGGTCTGCCCAGCTCTAGGCAAGAGCCCTAGTCACTGGACCATCCTGCAACTCATGGATTGAATGGACACTGCTGCAGCAATTTATTCTCTGATGTCTGTATTTTTTAAGACAAAATCTGAGTTATCTATAGGTTTCTTTACTACCCTCCTCAACTTGCTGTACTTCCAGCAGACTAGTTTTGAAAGCCATTCATTGGGAATGCCACCCACTGGCCTTGCAACAATTGGATGTCTGGAACTCTGCTCAGCAAAATGTACATTACATCTACTGTTAGTAATGCAGGGAAGTCGTACAATTTCCACGGCTAACAAGTGGTGCAGGGTATAGTCTGTTTTAGCTCAGTACTCTTTTTTTCCTAAATCACACAAGCTGAATGCTATCTTTTTTCCAGGCTTGATCTAGTAACGTGTTGCTGCCCTTTCAAAGCATTTCACACCTGCTGTTCAAAGAGAAAAGTCTTTCCAAAAGCTCATAAAATTCCTTGTCATGATTTTTTAATTTTAACTCGCAAAAGAACCAAGTAAACATCTTAGACTGAGTTGGTGTATAATCCTACATTAGCTTGTTGAGGGATGCTAATGGATTTGACCCAAGCCATATTTATAAATATGCTACTTACAGTCGGCCACGGATTATACTGATTTTTCTGATCTATGAACCAATATCGAACACCTGTTGAGTAACAACTTCTTGTAGCTCAGCAGCGACGCTGTTGGACAAGGTCTCATCAGAATCTACTGCACAGCTTGTACCCCCTCTCTTTAAAGATCAAGCATCCAAATGTTTTGAAATTTTGTTCCTTACTCTTGCTGATGTGTTTTACCTCTGTATTTGGCACTGGTCTGACTGCTGCTGCAATACTGTGTCCAGTTCTGGTGCCCACAATTTGAGAAGGATGTTGATGAATAGGAGAGAATCCATAGAAGAGCCATGAGAATGATTAAAGGATTAGAAATCATGCTTTATAGTAATGGACTCAAGGAACTCAATTTATTTAGATTAACAAAGAGACGGTTAAGGGGTGACTTGATCACAGTCTATAAGTATCTAAATGGGGAACAAATATTGAATAATGGTCTCTTTGATCTAGCAGAGAAAGGTCTAACATGATTCAATGGGTGGAAGTTGAAGCTAGACAAATTGAGTGGAAATGAGGCATAATTTTTTAATGGTGAGAGTAAATTAATCATTGGAACAACTTACCAGGGGTCCCGGTGGATTCTCCATCACTGACCATTGTAAAATCAAGATTGGATGTTTTTCTAAAAGCTCTGCTCTAGGAATTATTTTGATGAAGTTCTCTGGGCTGTTATACAGGAGGTCTAGACTAGATGACCACAGTGGTCCCTTCTGGCCTTGGAATCTGAATCTGAGGAGAGGCATTTAAGACCTGAAAGTGGCCCGTTCTTCATGCAAGAACTGGCCTATAGTGGAACCAGAAATGCAGGATACTGGAACATTAGCTTCCAACAGGAGCACCAGCTCTTGCTTTCATTGTCTGCCAAACCCACAGTCTGCTTGGCAACTGGCAGTAGCCAAGTTCTAACAGTAGAAGTTTGACAAGATACACTGAGACACTGCGCTGTGCCGGTCTTTCTTTCATTCCAGCTTTAATTTGGTGTGCAGGTACAATACAGCAAGCAGGAATATTCTCATGTTTCAAATGCCTTCACAGTTGTGGGCATGCAGCTTGTTGATGAAGGCATAAGAAATGCCTTATTTTGCTGGATGGCTTAGGTGTGACTTAAAATGTTTGTGTTTCAGGGTGGGGAGATTCTGTGGGCACTCCATCAGAGAGAGGAATGACCTATGATGCACTCCACGTTTTTGACTGGATAAAAGCAAGAAGTGGAGACAATCCTGTCTATATATGGGGGCACTCCTTAGGCACAGGGTAAGCCTCCAATTCAGATGGCAGCTTTCTAGAATAATCAAAGTAGGTCTATGTTGATCTTTGACAAATGTAGTGCCATTTATGGATAGTAGCTATAATCCATTCTGGTTCGTGTCTGTATCTGAATTTAATCACTCCAAAATAATTTCTTCTTTGCTCTTTTTAATTTAAGAAATAGGATAGTGACTAGAACGTGTATCCTAGAATTCCAGAGCGCGGGATTGGAAATTAGAAGGCAGTAAGATCAGCACTACGTCATGTCATGAGAGAAAAAATGGGCAGATCGTGGGGGAAAATCATCACTGGTGTAAGCAGGCACAGTTCCCTGGACAACAGCGGAGATGCACCCGTTTATACCAGTGTGTTGAGTGTGTGTTTTTTAAAGCCATACCCATTGGATTCCATCCTATACACTCTGGAAAGGGTAAAATTTTTGTTTAGCTGGAAAATATTTCTCAGACTAACTTACTGCACATATGCATGATTTACAGATCAGCACTGGGGCAATTAAGCCGTTCAAATGGTGATTTCACTTGTAGAAATGAAGTATGAAAAATTCTTTAAAAGCTAGACGCAGCAACAAAACTGGATGAATTGCCTTAATTGGCAGGATGCTGATTGTGAAGTAGTTTAAGACAAGGTCTGGCTATTGGTTCATAGTAAAAAGTTTTGGAACCACTGACTTAATAAGGCAACCAAACCAACTGCTTTTTGTCGTCTTTTGTGACCACCATTGCATATATGCATCCTCCACCCTGGCGCCAGGATACTAACGCTGGTCTGCGGGCAGGGGAGACCCCTCAGGGAAGGGAGGGGAGGGGGAGTTGGAGAGTGAGCCTGCCTTGCACTCACCCCTCAGCATGGCTCCTGTCCCACAGGCTGCGCCCGTCTGAGCATTGTACCCCAGTGCATGGGGTCGCAGCAACACCCATGTTTGGCCTAGCCACCTCTCCATAAAGACAGAAGAGCAGCCAGGCCAAATGTGAGTGAGTGGCATTGTGACCCAATACTTATGGTCACAGTGCCACTGAAGTTTGGTGTGGCTGCTCTTCTGTCATGGGGAGGCCAGGCCAAACCTGAGTGGTGCTGCGACCCTGTGCGCCAGACCATGATACCCTTACCAGGGAACTGGGCCCAGCCCCGCAGGACACAAGCCACTTCTAAGGGGTGAGTGTGGGGCAGGCTCGTTCTCACACCCTCCCATGAGAGCTGGGCTGGGAGAATCGGGCGTGCGCGTAGGCCAGGGCCCAGTGATGGGTTAATCCGGCCCCGGACATGGCAACCCATCTAGAACCTTCCTGTAACCCACTTGTGGGTCAGGACCCACCATTTGGGAAACACTGTATTAAGCTGCCTGCAAATTTAACTTGTGGCACTTCGGAACTGAGTGAATTCTGGAGAGAACTGACTTTTGTTAATGACATTGCAGAGCTCTTCCCAGAACTGAAAGGAGGAATTACCCCCACAGGAATGGGGACACTATCAGATTTTGTGTTCCTAGATCTGTCACCATTGTAGACATTAGACTATCATAGTGTGTAGTTTGATAGGCAAAGCCTGCAAGGGAAGTACCGGGATATTTTATATTTGCAAGAGAGAATAAATGTCTGGCCTTAAAAGGGGAAGGGGGAGGGAATTTTTTTCAAAACACCCTGCCAGAACCCTGCCCGTACAGTAAAATGCAGTTGTCACTTCAGATTTTTCTGTCTATCTCTCCTGTCTTTGAAAATGTGCTGCCTTTAATTAATAAACGGCTGTATTTTTATAAATAATTGGCACGCTCAAATTCTGTATTGCTGGAATGTCTGCTGTTGCACAGATCATATGGGTAACAGTGACGTGTGAATATTAAATGGTAAGCGTTTATTTATCTGAAATTTGTAAGCTTCCATCGTCTCTCCCTCCACTCACCCCACAGTTCTCCCTTAGGGCCTTGTCTGCACTGCTGAAAAAGGTGTGTGGTTTACCTTGCGATAACTAATGTGCATGAGCTGTCCCATGACAAACACACAATGAAGATTATGAGGTAAACTAGGTAAGGTCAGGCCCAGTGCTTTTATAGCGGTGAAGACAAGGCCCAAAGTCTCAGCTTGCCTGGTGAGCTGAAATGTGCATGCTCTTGAGCTGTGCATCCCAGAGCACAGTTACCTATTCCAGCGTGGGTGTGTCTGGAGCTCGGCGGCGATGGGGGCAGCAGAGAGACTGGTGACCTCAGCGCAGGAGAGATTGTGGGCAGTGAAAGGACTGGAGAGCCTGTGGAAGCGGAGCAATGTGTGAAAAGAGGGGGATGGGGGGTCTGCTGGAAGGTTTCAGTGCGGGAATCCTGGTCATGTTTGGAGAGTGTGTGGAACATGAGTAAGGCTATGATTTAGTCACGGGTAGTTTTAGTAAAAATCCCGGACAAGTCATGGGAAATAACCAAAAAATCACGGCCAGTGACCTGCCGTGACTTTTACTAACAATACCCCTAACTAAATCTTAAGTGCTGGGGCGGGATAGGGGGTGTGCTCCAGTGGACGCTGTTACTCCAGGTCGAGGGGCGGCCCGGGGCCCCGCCACCGCTGCTCCCAGACAGTGCCCAGGACGAGTTGCCTGGGGCCACCGGAGCAGTGGCCGGTGTGGCTGGCCCTAGGGCCGCCCCAGCTGCTCAGGCAGTCCTGAAGTCAGCCACACCAGCCGCTGCAGCTGCAGAAGTCACGGAGGTCCCAGAAAGTCACAGAATCTGTGACCTCCGTGAAAGACTCGAAGCCTTAAGCATGAGGAACTAGGGAAGGCAGTTTCTATGTCTGAACCTAAGAAAAATCCTGCATCTCTCATTGAATGTGACTCATCTCTCAGCTATCTCTATACCCGAGGAAATGGAGTTTGGCTGAATAGCAGCTTCTTTAATCTCCAGTCATATAAAACAGAGACGTAGGGAAGAGGAGGAAGTATTTTGAGGTGCTCTTTAAGCCCTCTGAAAGGCTGTCCAGTATCCGAGTGTTAAGAATTGCTGCAAAACATCAGTCAGTTGAGCCACTCGCTGGCTTTCCCTGTTGCCTACACTTCCAGCCCTGACACTGGCTTGGAGTGCAGCTGTCTTGAGATCAGTCTCAGAGCTGGATCTTCCAAGGGACAGTATGTGATGTTATCGCTTTGAGTTGCTGCTGTTCTTTAGCAGTGAGTGACGAAAACACTTGAATTAACACGAAATGTATTTTTTTTTCTTTTAGAGTTGCAACAAATTTAGTGAGGCGTCTTTGTGAAAGAGGTAAGGCTAATGAGAGAGGGGCACTCGCTGTGTGGCACAAGTTGCACTTATGGCCCTAACTGCTGCTCGGTTACCTTGGTCTGACTTTACTGCAAAAGTAATTTTATCTTATGCTTTTGTATAGTCTGCTCTTCTTTGGAACATAATTCCCCAAAACGTATCTCTTAGTATTATGTAAGCCTTTCCCAATGCAAACCAGGGCATCCCTCAGTGTGAGTTTTGGCACGCTACTTCGGTGGTTATATTACCAAAAATTATTTTATTTTATTCAGAACTTTCACTGTCTTATGGCTAGATGGAGTATTTTAGTTTTTGGTTTGGCATCTTTTATAAGGATTGAATTACCTTAGACACCCCTTCCACGCCATTCCAAAAGTGCAACTGTAGAACTTTCCAATATTCATCACAGCTCTTTAAAATGACTTCATGAGCTTGACCATGACCTCGGTATGCACATTTGTGCTGCACGCTTTTCCAGCCCTAACTCGGGTTCAAGGGAGGATCTGAGGCACATGTAATTATTTTAGACACCTTTTCAGCCAGTAAGAAATGGGTAACTCGTGTCACTCCATCTGAGAGGAGAATATTGTCTCACTTTGCGCATTTACCCTGTCTTGTAGCGTCTCTAGCATATAAAGATTGCCCCACTGTGGCTCTGCTTCTGATCTATTTGCTCTGCTTTGTCTTAACTCACCTGAGTTCAGTGCTTTAACAGGCTGTGCTATGTGCTCCTGTTTCAGAAACTCCTCCAGATGCCCTAGTACTGGAATCGCCATTTACTAATATACGGGAAGAGGCAAAAAGCCATCCGTTTTCAGTGGCAAGTACAGACTTCGGTTTTTATTACCTTGTAATTTTAGTCACAAAAACTAACACATTTAAAAATTCCTTGTGGGCAGTAATGGCACATAGCTGAGTGAGTTATGTAAGCCCCCCAGTGATTGCCAGTGTTTGTTATTAAGATATGTAGGGCACGAAATGCCTTTGTAGAAATGCACGCTACAAATGAAATTAAGTATAATTAACAACCATATTTGGATCTGGCACAAGAAAAGGAAAATTGGGAATGAAAAGTCATAAATCCAGGGGTGAGAAATACAGACCGATTTGGCTATGTCAGTGGGGAGTGTGTTCCCCACCACAGGGTTAACCAGTGCAAAGGCATGGTCCCTTGCTGACATAAGGCATGACTGGCACACTCACAGTGAGTAGCATGTGAGTGCAGATACCACTCAGAGGAGGCTCAAAGGAGGATCAAATACAGCCAGGGTACACCCCATTTAGGCCTTTTAAAGCAGCGCTATTCCATTTCATAGCCAACCAGTGCAGTTCTGAGCCAGTTGAATGTGGTGGAGAAGCTGGACCAAGAAGTTAAAATGGACCAAGACTTTCAAATGAGTGCACTTCTGCCTGAGGCATGGAGCTGTGTACACGCACATGTTCATACAGACCCAGCTGGCATCTGCCCATTAGCGGTGTTATACTCCTAAGTCAGGAGTGCACAAAGGAGCATGTACATTTAGGTGTACAGCTGTTTGAAGGTTGGACTAAAATAATTACCAAACCTCATGGTCACAAGGCCATGTGTAGCTGTTACAAGTACATCACAGGACCAGGCCTGCCCAGGGAGTGCAACTGGACACACTTCACCCACGGTGCAGCCATGTGGGTTTCCATGGAAACAGCAGGGTTGAAAGCTTTGCCACAACTCATAACCTGACTACTTGCCAGTGACTCTCCTGTGCAGGCCAGGTACCTGATGGCTGAGTGAACCTCCTTATGGTCCCAGTCTCTTCCTAGCAGCCAGACTTCTGTTTTCCCAGGGTTGATGGTGAAGTTGCTCTGACACCCAACAGAGGTGACCAACACACAAATAAGCAAACCCACAGGCCGTGTCAATGTGGCCAGGCCTGTGGGTGCTCTTGTGACATTCTGGGTAAAACAGTAGCAGACTGATATCCAAGAGGACTCAAGCAGCAATGCTGATGTTAGCTTGGAGAACTTGGTGATTAAAATCATCCATGACTGTGCACTAGTAGCCAAAACAATGACTAACAGTGAAGTGTCTCTGCAGCGGTACCTGTTAGTTTGGCTGCGTGTACTCCAATAACCAATGTGATATCTGGTAGTGTATAATGCTCTCTTATTCCGGGCGGGAATGTTCCGTGCAGGAGTCTATCTTGCTGTTCAGTGGAATATGTCTATTCATATACTTACACAATTTTTTTCTTCAGATATATAGATACTTCCCTGGATTTGACTGGTTCTTCCTTGACACCATCACAATGAGTGGAATTAAATTTGCAAATGATGAGAAGTAAGTAATGACTCTCATCTGTGATCTGAACTAAGCCCTTTCAATCATATACTCATAGATGAGCCTGACTAGAATAAAGCCAACGCCATGGGAATATATGCCAAATTGCAATCTCTCTTCTTTTTAGTTCTTTCTAGAACTTGCTTAAGGAGGTTTCAACAGCCCTAACTGGCCTTGGGTACGACATAGGTGTATAAAAGTGTGGGTGTCTGGCTCCGTCTCAGGAAACTCCAGCACACAACTATCAGTATCATTTTCCTTGGATGCTTTTTCATTTTTTAGTGCAGTTAATCGTATTCTAGGTGCTGTTCAAACCCAACAGTTTCTCCCTTGCACAGGAAATAGACTGACTAGCTAGTTAAAGGGACTGCATAAAAGTGAGAGACTATATGGGTGTCTATAACTATGACTGTTTTTTGTTATTGGTTTCTTACAAACTTCTCTATTTAATACGTTGAATAGAACTATCCTATTCAGAGAGTTAGATAGTTGGAGATTTGGCTGTTATAAACTGACATGATCCAGGCTTTCTCTAATAATAGTTTCCACTTTTATAGAGTCTGCCATCAAAGAATCTAAGCACTTTACAAACCTTAATGAATTAAATCTCTCAACATCTTGGTAGAGAAGGATCATGCTGCTCTACAGAGAGGTTAAGTGACTTGCCCAAGGTCACACAAGAAATCTGTGGCATAGCATGAATAGAATCCAGGTCCTCTGTCTTAGCCAATAAACCAGTGTTTCTCCAACTGGGGTGTGCGGACCCCTGGGGGTCCATGAGGGCATTCAAGAGGATCCGCTGGCCCTGCTAATCAACTCCTCCCCCTCCCGCCCAGGGCCTCCTGCAAGCTGGGGAACAGCTGTTCAGCACCGTGCAGGAAGTACTGGGAGGGAGGGGGAGGAGCGGGGAGTGGGTGCACTCAGGGGAGGGGGCAGAAAGAGGCGGGGAAGAGGTGGGGCGGGGTGGGGCCTTGAAGGAAGGGGTGGAGTGGGGGCGGGGCTTGAGGGTCCGTGGAAAAAATTTAAATCAAAATGGGGGTCCTCAGGTTGCTAAAGTTTGAGAACCGCTGCAGTAGACTGTTCTTCCCCTTTCTTTGTAAGAAGAGCACTTTTTGAAAATGCACAGCAATTTCCTTTTATAATCATAAAAAAGAAATCTACCTTTTTATTGACCTTACTGTGGGGTGATGAGCTCCCTAGCAAATAGATTCTCCAGTGGTCTTATTAATCATTTTTTCCTTAGATCATATTAATTGGTGTTTTGAACAAAATCTGAAATGTGGTTAATTATAGTTACAAACAAGCTACACATAACTTCCCTGGAAATTCCACCAAATATAATTACAAAACTTGTTGGTCATAAAACTCTCTAATGTCCCCTAATAAACACTTTCCGATTAGTGTGTAGTGGAATAGTTTGTTGTTTCATTACACACGATGGGCTCACTCTTTATTGTTTTAAAAATAAACCCTGTAGCAATCCACTGCGCTGTATTTTCTTCTGCCAACTTTGCAGAATATGAATGGGACTCTTATTTATTAGTGGTGGGTGTTCGAGAAGAGGGACAATAAGCCAAAGATAATTGGCTCTATTTGCATTTGACGGGACAAGTGTTGAATTTGATGAAGCTAGTAGTTTTGATTATTGTGACTTTAGCTTAGCTTAATGATGCTAAAATTGTTTTTCAAAGGGCAAGGATAGATGGGAATTGTTGGCTTCTCTAACTTAATTATTTCCCACTCCTAGAACAGCCTACAGTAAAGAACTGCTTGTCTATAGACAGGCAAAATATTACTCAGAAATGACAAGTATTCAGAAAGCATCTCTTTTACAAAAATGTAACCAGAATGTGCAGAGTGAGTAAGCGTAGAACTTGACTTGATTATTTTTATTCCTAGTGACAATTGTAATCCTTTTTGCAGTGTAAAATACATTTCCTGCTCGCTGCTTATTCTTCATGCTGAAGATGATCCTGTTGTACCATTTCATCTTGGAAAGAAGGTGCGTTTCTTCAGCTATCGTAGCAGATCTGCTTCAAGTTGCCCATTTGATAGGAGGGAATAGTGTGTCTTAAACAACACACCCAAACAAATGATGCCATTCTGTTCAGAAAAAGGTACCAATGTGATGTTAAGAACTAGCAGCTTTAGTAATGACAGAGGTGCATAAAGTGAGTGGTGCTGAAGGGATGAGATGTTGGGTGGCAAATCTTATCTATCTATTGAAACAAGCCCTTCAAATGTCTGGTACTTGCTAAGGAAAAGGGGTGTGAAGAATTTATCAGCCTACCAAAAAAAATGTTTTGTGGGAGAAGTTAGGGGGAAAGTGTTACTGTTCTACTAACCCAAGAATGGGAATGAGAAAGAATGAGCACAGATTGACAGAATACCCCTTAGCTTCCTGGATGCAAGGGATCAAACGCTATTAAATAAATTCATTTTAAATAGTTGTTTTAACCAAGCTGTGCCGGGCAGATTTTACCTAAATAGAAACTTAATTGCAACAGTTCTTGATCAACCTACTGCTCAATTAGTTAGCTGAAGGCAGGGGAACTTGATCTCTGGTTATAATTAATCCCATTGCCCAATGGGGTTTGGGATTTGTTTGTGTGTGCACAGTTATGGTGTTTGAAATTCATACGAGATATTAGTGGGGCCTGAGCTGCAATCGGCCAGCTCATCTCATTCAGGACTTCAGGCTGATTTCAGCAAAGTTAGTTATGTAATAGCTCTCCTACAAAAGCTCAGTTTTGTCCAACTGAATCTACTAACTCTCCTTTGTAAGCAGAATATTTGCTGTGAGAGTTACTGCATTGTCCATTAGATCGTGGGTGGGGGGAGAGATGATTAGGTAAAAGGGGAGCCAGGGCCGTAGCAACAAAGAACGTGGCCCCCTCCGAACGGTGGCCCCCTCCGAACATATGTCCGGGCGGGGCCCCTTACAATGCAGAAACTGGAATGCGGTATTTATTTTGACACTTTTAGGGGCCCCCTTCCTTGCGGGGCCCCCTCCGGTCGGAGGGTACGGAGGGCGCTCGCTACGCCTCTGAGGGGAGCTCTGAGAATGGAGACGCAAAGTGAGAGCCACAGAGATACAGTAGAACCGCAGAGTTACAAACACTTCGGGAACATTCGTAGCTCTGAACGAAACGTTCTGGTTGTTCTTTCAAAAGTTTACAACTGAACATTGACTTAGTACAGTTTTGAAACTTCACTGTGCAGAAGAAAAATGCTGCTTTTAACCACTTAATGTAAATGAAACAAGCACAGAAGAATTTCCTTACCTTGTCAAATCTTTTTTTAATTTATTGTTTTAGTAGTTTATTTAACACAAAACTGTACTGTATTTGTTTGCGGGTTTTGGGTTTTTTTTTGGTCTCTGCTGTTTCCTGATTGCATACTTCCAGTTTCAAATGAAGTGTGTGGTTGCCTGGTCAACTCATAACTCTGAGATTCTCTGCATTGCAAAATATGTGGTAGATACATATCCCTTTGTGCTTCTCTCTCACCCCCCACTTCTTAGTGGATGCTCTATTAACCTTTTACTTCCACCAAAATGCCCCCTCTCCTCCCGTCCATGTGTGTGGGAGGGTGTACACCAAATTACTATGTATCTTAATAAAATAAAGGCCATTGTATCAATACAGCAAGTATACTTTTAGCTGGCTAGCATTGTCGCACAATTTTGAAATGCTGTGATTTGTAACTCACTTTTTTTTATCCTTTCTACAGCTTTATAACATTGCTGCACCATCTCGGAGTTTCCGTGACTACAAAGTACAGTTTGTTCCATTTCACAGAGACCTCGGCTACAGGCATAAGTACATATACAGGAGTCCAGAGCTACCTCGAATACTGCGGTAATAAACAGGATCATGTTAAATGTATTAAATCGGCATCATTACTGAAGGGTCGCAGTGAGTAGGGAACAGATGGATGAAGCTTGTTAGATCAAGGCTGCTCTGAGCTGACTTGCAATATGGAACCTGTTCTAGTTATAGACAGTCTACGGTCGATATTTGCTGGGATCCATGTTTAGTTTTGCGCCCCCCCCCCCCCAAATTTCTTTGTGACCATAAATGAATCCGTACACACTGAATGCTAGAAACCTTTATAGTAATACTTGGCATTTACTGATTTTCATCTTCAAAGTAATATGTAAATATTCCTCATAACCTTGGCTATGTTTCCAAAATATAGGCTCCAAAAATCAACTTGCAAATCTGTAGGTATATCATTGATAACTGTGTATTGTATGTGTATCTATGTGAGGAGATGGAGAACTTGTATTGCCCTCATTATGCATTGGGGGAATGGAGTCAGAGCTGTGAAGTGACTTGCTGCCAGTGTATGAACCTGGTTTAGAAGTCAGGAGTTCATGATTCCCACTCCTGCACTCAGCCCACCAGCCACCTCTGTCCCAGACTCTTCCTGTAGGGTCTCCAAGGGCTTGTCTACACTTACTGGAGGAGCCACACTGCGGCGCTTGATCCATCAGCGGTCGATTTAGCAGGAAGACCCGCTAAATCGATCACCGATCGTTCTCCCGTTGACTCCTGTACTCCAGTGGATCGAGAAGAGTAAGGGGAGTCGATGGGAGAGAGTCTCCCATCCCGTCGCATAGTGTGTACCCCGCAGTAAGTAGATCTAAGCTACGTCGATTTGAGTTAACACTATTCATGTAACTCAAATTGCGTAGCTTAGATCGACTTTTCCCTTTAGCGTAGACGAGGCCCAAGGCAGATTTTTCAAAGCTGGGCATCTAAAGGTAGGCACCTAAATCCATAGAGTCCCCTGCACAATGGCCTGACTTTGAGGTTTTGAGCACCCCCGACTCCTGTTGACTTTAATGGAGCTGCAGGTGCCCAGTACCTTGGAAAATCAGACCACTCCTTTGGGTGCCTGCATTTAGATACCAAGTTCAAAAGTTTTTGCTTGCGTCTATTTCTGGATGAGACTAAGGTCTAAACTCTGCCTCCCCTGCACAGGCGCTCGATGGGGAGAGCTGGTAGCCCTCCCCCACCCTCCCCAGGTCACTTCTGGGTGCAGCCCACCATAATGTGGCAGGGCTGTTTGTGCTGCCAGCTGCCACTGCAGCTGCAGACGACATAACACTGTAAATCATTGTCTTGGGTTTAGGCTGCATATATGCGACGTAAACCACTACGGACAAGCTTGCGATAGCTGTAGTTCTTCTTCCAGTGATTGGGCATGTGCATTCCACTGTAGGTGTTTGTGCCCTCCAGTGCACGGTTGATGGAGAGTTTTTTCCCTTAGCAGTACCCATCGGGGCAGCAGGAGCGTCCCCTGCTGCCTCGCTCACCACGCACAGGCATAAAGGGCCGAGCCACCTGACACTCCTAAGTTCCTTCCTACCCTCTGTGATGGTTGTTGGAGCTCCCTGTCCTTGCTTCTGCAAGTCTTTAGTCAAATCCTGTATCTAGTTCCTGTCTAGTTAGTGTAGTGTATTGGTGAGTTACCTGATGGACTAGTTAAAATAGTTTTGGTGTTTTGTGTGGCTCTGGTGCCGGGTCTCGGTCCCGGACCCGGCACTGGAGATATGCCAAGCTTTCCGGGTTTCAAGCCCTGCCACTCTTATGGGGAGGCAATGCCCAATAGTGACCCTCACCCCAGCTGCCTTAAGTGCTTGCGGGGGGCTTGTGAGCGACAAATGTGTCATTTGTAAGGGTTTTAAACCTTGTTCTAAAAAGGACAGGACAGGCACGTTAAAATATCTGCTGCTGGAATTGGTGCTACCTCCTCCATCTGAGCCATCTGCCTTGGTCCGGGCACCGAGCATCAGTATGTACCTCTGGTGGTACTGTTACCAAGAGGCAGATCGGTGTCGCCAGTACCGAAGAAGAGGCATTGGAAATCAGACTCGGTACCAGATTGTCGAAAGAGGTGGAGCTGTTCTAAAGACGCAGGAGGGTGCTGAGAGGGGAAGCACTCTGCAGAGCACACCTCTAAACAGAGGAGTTCATTGACTCCAGAGCCCAGTGCAGGGCTCGAGACCAGCTCCTGAAGCCCCTTTCTTGGCGTCTCCTCATGCCCCAGTACCATCTACTCCTGAGGTGTTTGAGGCTGCAAGAGAGTTGTTAAACCTCTTGGAGTCACCCAGCACCGGCATCCAAAATACCGTCATCAGCGCCTTCCCCTCTGCACCAGACAGTTCCATTGGATTCGGCCAACAAGGTACCAATTAATGTGGTGCTACCTAGGGGGAAGCCACAGATTCCAGCTCCCCTTTCTTCAGAGTCTGAACCTTCCTCACCAGTCCCTGACAGGTACAGCACCACCTTGCTCACAAGAAGAGGCTTCTGCTTCATCAGACTCTGAAGTGGGCTCCTGTGTGTCCAACCTAGGCGGTCCTGTCATCAGGAGTATGTCAGTTGCCTGCTTTTGTTTCAGTCTCAGTACCAGGAGGAGCTTATAGTGATTGCCCCGGTGCGGCCCCGTCAGCACTAGTTTTCACAGTCAGTCTGCCATTCTCACTCCTGATTTACATAGACCTAATTTCACAGACTCACAGCTGCCTCCTCCATCCTAATCTTCAGGCCCTTCATCGGCGGGGAGTCCTGTTCTAGAGCGGTGCAGGAGGTGCTACTCAGTTGTAGAAAACCATCAACTAGGACAACTTGCCTTGTCAAATGGAAGAGGTTTTCCATCTGGTCAAGGCTGAAAGGGGTCTCCCCTAGTCTAGCACATGCTGAATAGAAGCAAGAATATCTTCTGTATGGTGGGCTGTTTAGCGCAGTCAGGGTACCCCTAGTGGTTATATCAGCATTTCACCCACCTGTGGATACCCGCTTCCAACCAAATGGCCATAAGACTTTAATGAAAGTAGTGTTTCTAGTAGCCACATCATCAATCAGGAGAGGGGTGGAGTGAGGGCACTGGTATCAGAACCTCCATATATGTCTACCTTGATCCTCCCCATCCAAGTTTTCTTATGCAAGTGGTCTCCACTTTTTATGTCAGCCAAGCAATTTTCCTACTGATCTTTTCCCCAAATCCTCACGGTAGTAAAGGGGAGGAGAGACTACACACTGTAGCCATCAGAAGAGCTTCAGCATTTTATCTGGAATGGACTACATATTTCAAGTCTTCATTTCAATTTGTTCATTGCATTTGGGACAGAGCGAAGGGCAGGTGTGTTTCCACACAAAGGATTTTGACATCAGGTTTTATTCACCTGTTACCAGCTGGCTAATGTGAATCCGCTGGATAGAGCACTGAGTCATTCAGGTAGATCCCGAGTAACCTCTGCGGCATTTCTGGCTCACAAGCCATATTAGACATTTGCAAAGCAGCAACCTGGTCATCCTGTCATGTCTGCCCCCCACTACACCCTCTCTCAACAATGTAGAGGCGAAGCTAAGCTTGGATGAGTGGTCCTCCAGCCCGTTCAAATAGACTCCGAACCCATCTCCAGTTGGGACTGCTCGTGGGTGGAATGGATATGTGCGATTACTCCAAGAATTAAAAAGGGTTACTAACCTGTCCGTAACTGTTGCTCTTTGAGATGTGTTGCACATGTCCATTCTACAACCCGCTCTCCTTCCCCTCTCTGCCGCAGTCTTGCCCATAGGAGGGAACTTCGGGGAGTCAGAGTGGCTAGGCCCTTTATGCCTGCATGTGGCGAGCAAGGCAACAGCGAATGCTCCTACTCCCCAATGGGTGCTCTAAGGGGAAAAACTCTAACGCTGTGCAGTAGAGCACACAGACACCTACAGCGCAATCAGCATGTGCAATGCAGCTAGAAGAACAACAGTTATGGAGAGGTAGGGAACCATTCGTTCAGTGGAAATGCCGAAGTGTAGGGCATTTAAGATGTCACCTCTGTTGCCCTGTGCCCAGCTCCCTCTTAACCGTTGGGGCATTCATAGTCAGCAGTGACTATCCCATTGGGAAATCAGGCTTCCAGAGCCAGAGTGAGCTTTCCCCTGCAGAGCTGCTCATGGTATTTTATCAGCAGGTCAGATCATACAAAGGAGGGCAGATGCTCTCGATAGACCTTGGGGGTTCCTGTTTGCTGTAACGGGAGCGCTCTGTGCTCCCTTTGAAGTCATTGCAAAGACTCCCTTTTGGGAATGTCTACACTGCTGCCTGAGTGTGACTGTAGTACGGCACAGCTTTAATCTAGCTACCACGTGCAACAATAGCAGTGAAGTTGTGGTGGCATGGGCTAGCAACCAGCATACAAGCCCTCCAGGAAGCCTGGATACGTAGTCAGGCACGCAGCCTATGCTGACGCCCGTGCCACCACATCTACACTGCTGCTGTTATCCGTGCTTGCTAGACTGAAACTCCCCCAAGTATGCCTACCTGTGCTACAATCACACCTTCGCCGGCAGCATAGTCAGACGCCTTGATTTTAATGGGCTGTGCCTCAGACCTGAGAGGAGCGTGACCTGGTTTTGGAAAGTGGCAGAGTGGATTAGTCACTGTCGGTTTCTTGTTTTCTTTCGTAGGGAATTCCTGGGAAAATCTGAACATGCACATCATCACTGAAGACTGGCTGCTTGATAGCATTAAGGTTCTTCTTTTTGGTTTTTTTGTTTTCTTTGGGTCAGTCTGTCATTCTTTAGCGCCTGGCACTGGCTAAGCCAGGAAATCCTTCATTTGTCCTGATGCATACCCTTGGAAACCCAGACTCCCACATCGGTGTCTAAGACAGGAGGAGGAGAAAGAAATGAAGTTAGCTGGCTTCTGTTTTAACATGGACAGAAAAACAAACAAACCCATGCACCAATGCCAACCCATTCAAAACTTGAGCACAACAAAGAGCTACCAATGCAGCATAATAATTAAAAGAACAGAGGTTCCTAGAAAACATGTATTAGGACAAATGGCACTTCTTTTACATTTAAAAACAGCGTAACATTTTGGATCACAAATGGACTGTGATTTACCCACAAAATGGTGGCTGTGACCATCTTTAAATATTGCAGCTGTCTTGCTTCAGTTCCAGGGTGTTTCCTTTATAGAAAATATAGATTTAGTTCATCATTTTCTCTCAATGGTTATAATCAGGAAAGTGCTGAAGATCATGGGGAATAGTGATGTTTTATTGAAATCAGTTAACTTTTAATTTGATGTGTACTGCAAAAGCGTAAGGGTACTTGCAAGACAAACGCATTTTGAAATCAAAAGGATGTTTTTAAAGACGTAAGACACACATATTTAATGCAATGGGGATGTTGTAACACGTTTCCATTCTCCCCCCATGTCCTTCTTTCTGAGTATCATTCCTGCTCCATACATGCACACCTCTGGAGTGTTCCTTTCCCCTTCCCATCTACCTTTGGTAGGAGTACTGGTATCTGAAGTGACTTCAACAGATGGGATTTTATTTTAGGGAAAGTTTTTTTAAATTTGTCTGAGCTTTCCCCCTCTCTGAATCATATGGGCCTAGAATATGTAGGAATTTATTTAAACAATAAATGTCTTCCATTCTTCTTTAAGCATAAAGAGACACAAGCACTTTCTCGGGGATGAGAGGACAGAGATCCTTAAGAAACTTGCGTTTTTTTCCTCCTCAAACACTCACGTACATGTTTTAGCTCCAGTTGTCAGGCACAAAGGGAGAGGTGAACTTGTCAGTTCCTTAGGCAGAGCAATTCCTGCATAGCTAAAAGCAAGCAGCAGTAGATAGTTACTAATGCAAATAAACTGTGGTTCTGTTTTTTTTCTTGACACCCCACCCTCTGTTTTCCATGCCTTGGGCAAAGACTCAGCTCTCCTGTTCACACGGAGTACACCTGGGTCATCTGTGGCCTCAGTCCCTCTTTCCTCATAGCAACGTGTGCTGCCCTGGATGGGTGGCTGGCCAGGGCTGGTTCAGGCCATCCTGGGAGGCTGTAGATTCATAGGTCCCCACTCCACTGGGGGAGATGCTCAGTGGAAGCTTCCTCCTTGTACAGCGGGAGGTGATGCACCAGCTGCTCTGTGGTGGAAAGTTGGGCTGCTGGCTGTGCATCCCTTTATCATGACCCTTAGTGAGGCACATTACAGGTGTCCCTGTTCTGCTGTGCCTCCTTCCCTGACTGCTCCCACAAAACAATTCCTGGTTCAGGACACGCACCTCCCCGCCCGCACCCCCACCCCCACTAGCATGGGGGTGGGAGAATGTCACGTACTGGACAATGGGAACTGGAGCTGGAGAACCCAGTAAGCTGGGGCTTTTCAGGGTACTCTAGACTTGTTTGAACTGGCCCTAACAAAACATTCCACGTAATACTCGGTGTAATAGTTTTAGTTCCTAGTGTTCAGAGGTGAACCTTACAGCCTGAAGGGGTCTGTTCTCTTACGCAGTTGTATAAGGCGTAGTGTAACCAGTTCAGCATGCATCCAAGTTATAGCTACAGGCTCATAATAGTTACAAAGCGGACAGTAGATTGTCTGCCGTAGTGTGGTTATACTAAGGTTTTGACCCATAACACTTCTGAGCTAACCGTGACATTTAAATTCTGTTTTATGCACTTCTTGATATTTATTGCATTGACAGGACAGAAACACTATTTGGCTCTTTGCAATTCAATCTCTACATTCCATCTAATGCTGCTGCTGTCATCTGACTCATGTTAAAGTATAAACGTCAATGAAAATGTTGACTCTCTTCCCATGTGACACAAATTAGATTCCAAAGCATGAACCAGTGCAGTTTATTTCAACATACGTTCCAGTTAATTAGGCCAGTGATGTGCATTAAGATTGAAATGTTTATCTAAAAGTGTGTAGCTTTAATAAAATGATTGACTTCTGATCACGCCACTGACTAATTTGTCTTGTTTTTAACTTTGAAGAAAGGAGAGAGCTGAGCTTGAGGCAGAATTGAATGCCTGCCTTGGAGTTGGCAAACCTCGGATCCATCAGTGTGAGTTTCCAAGGGAAAACTGTACCTCCAAGTATCTCTGAGTTACTTCTGGGGTCCCGAACTTGTTCTTTGCTTCTGAAGGTACTCGGTGCTCCTCTGATGACAAGTAGTGCTGGAGATATCAGAATGGGCTATGCCATCTGTTCTCCATGGGGCGGGGGGAGACACACGTTGCAACACCTTCTTTTCACGGGATAGGCAGTCATTGGAACTTTTTCTTGTTGTCAGGTGAGGTTCCTGGTGTCTGATCAAAGGGGGAGAAGTGCTAGGCTGTGCCAATGAATGTCATAGGGGTAAAAGAGGGGCTGTGATGGCTTACGCAACAACCTGTAACTATACAATGCATGTGCAGCAGAAGTTAATAGAACACCACCTGTGGGCACAGTACTTCCCCACTGAACCTAGTTCCTGTTCTCGCCACGGTTCTGTGGTTCTAGGCCCCAGTAAATGTGTGGGATAGGGATGAGAGGGAGGGTGGCAGCTCATCCAGCCAGCAGTCTTTGGCCAAAGCCGACAGCATAGACACGAAGGCTGGTGGGACCAAAGTAAGCACTGAGGGGGCCTGTGTTGATGAAGGGGTGAGAACTCTTTGCATTGGCTGCCCAGTTGGGGGTGTGAACCTTTGGGCCTGGTGGGGCTGTGTTCTGCACCCCTCCCTGGGACCCATTGTGACCACACTTACTCCTTTGGGTGGATCTGGATCTTTGGTCTCCTGAGTGACTTTCAGCTTTAGCAGCTTCTATCATGTTTCTTGCCTATTTCTATAGCGCATTATTCTTCATACCCTAAGAACGCAGTGGGAAGGAGGCCGTCATCCATGCTGAGCTGTTTTCCATATTGCCCCTCAGCCCTGCCTCACAGGTGCTTTGCTGCAGGAGTGGCATGGCTTAATTAATACCCTGCTGAATTCCCAGCCTGCCGGGGGTTGCTGAGCTTGTCACTAGTATGTGTTGGCACCAGAGCTTGTTAGACCATGTCATTGGCATACCGGAGATGTGGTGTATAGCCAGAAATGGCTTCTGCAGGGTGCCATGCTAAAGGGATGGGGGAGGGAAAGCAGCATCATGGGTGACTTAACTTGCTGAGCCTAGTCAATTTCTGAGATTTATATTATTGTGAGACTAAGTACTAGAAACCAAGGATTTGAACACAAACCAGCTGGGCATTCTGATTGTTTTAATCAGTTTCCAATGCACAGGTGAGGAACACTGATTCACTACACAGATTAATATCCATACTTCATGCCAACATGTTGAAACAATGCACTAAATCTATTTCCATGTCCCATTAGAGGCAGAAACAGAAGCAACTGGGATGCTCGAAGTTCAAAACCTTCCACTTTCCTGCTCGGTACGAGTTGATTTCCGAGATAGCAACTCTGTTCTACTGTTACAGTTCAAATAGCCCAGTTCATGGAACACAGACTATGAAATGTCAGTAACACATTGACAATCCAGCAAGTATTCCTCCTAGGCTAGGTCAACACAAAACACACTGGCTGTAGATCAGCAGCTGCATGCAGATGAAGTACAGTACATTCTTTAGCAGAAGTATTGTTGTATATTCAAGAAATTTGACAGCGTTTAAAAATTCTAGCGACACAAGGTGAGTGAGATAATGCTATACAGAGCTCTTCCGGTCTTCTCCAGCCCCTGTGTAGCTCAAAAGCTCATGTCTCTCACCCCAGAAGTTGATCCATTAAAAGCTGTTACCTCACCCACCATGTCTCTCCACAATCCTGGGTCTAACATGGCTGCACCAACACTACAGTTAAAAATCATTAAGTGGACTTAGGGGTTGGTCTTTCTGATCATTGACATAACAGGGCTGTACTTGATTTCAATGCACACCTTTTCTGTACACAGGAAGTGTATCCACTTCCCAGCTGAGAAGTGACAGGCTTAGTCCCTTTCGTTGCTCATGGGCATAAAGACATGATGTAAGTTAACACACCAATGTACACAGCAGAGGCGGGTGAGCCAGGACACAATGACTTAATTTCAAGTGTGCTGTGGCCAATGATATTTCCCAGCAATTCTGTATTTGGCTGTCGGCTCTTGGGCCCAGATCCTCACTTGTATTTAGGTTCCTAATGTCTGTGCTTTTCCTGACTCCACTCTTCGGACTAAGAAAATGCACAGGTGGGAGGCTGGGTGAGGACAATGCAATCATTGTATCAGACCGCTCGGTGTTGACGGGCTTGCTCTGTGTGAGCTGGGCCGAGGGAGACTATGCCGGAAACTGGCTCTTCCAACACTAGGAGCTTCAAGTTCCAGCACCATATGGGCAGTGACTGAGCCCAGCTGTGGCTGGTAGGCTCTCCAGGGCCCTGGGATGTTAATTCTCAGGCCCTTCCAGGGTCCTGCCCTGGGCTGCGGAGGCCCCTTGCCATAGATCCTGTCTGTACCTTTCCAGGTCTTTTCCCCTCTCAGACACTGGGGGCAGCCACTGAGAGCGCTGGGGCTGTCACAGTCCCTGTAGCAGGGGGTTGCTGGCTGCCAGGCTGCCGTGGGCTACATGGTCCTGGCCCTGCCTTGTAGCTCTGTGAGCAGACTGAAGGGCTTGGGGGGCAGTGACTTGCCTGCTAGCTGATGGTCTAGCTTTGGGCCTTTTTCCTTGATGGCGGTGGTCTGGTCAGTAGCCAATGCCACAGGGCGGGCAGTGGCTCTTTCTGGGGCTAGGTCACACAGACAGCTTAGCCTGACTGGGGTAGAAAAGGAGATGGAGCAGTTCTGTGCAGGAATGGGTCAGTGGGGCCAGCGAGGGCCCTTGGCTAGCACAGTAAATGCAGGGCCCTTTGCCAGAGGGAAAGTGACGGTAAGTCTTTGTCCCTGACTGCAGGGCCAACAAAACTGTACCAACAATAAAAACAGGGGTGTTGGGTTCAGGCTGGCTTGGGCAGGGGGGGAGTGTTAAGGTGACAGGCTCCTCTTCCCCCTGTGCACAAGGCCATGCTTGTGGCCCACACGCCTCAGCAGCCATCCAGCCCCCTGCTCTCACACAAGCACAGTGTTTACAGGCTGGTGCTTACAAGTATTTGTAACACAGACAAGGCCCATGCTCTGAAGAAAGCGCAAGCCAGGCCCAGCTCCAGGGGGCTTGACCTCACTAAACCAAAATTCTTTAGGAAGCGTTTCGGCAGGTTTGCAGTGTCCTGTACATCGCCCTGCTCAGCGGGTACAGCGGTTCTGCTTTTGCCCATGCTAGATGAAGGCTAAAACAATCTCTCATGCCTTCATAGCAGCTCTATAAACACAACTTGGAGCAAGAGGGTGCCTTAGACAGGGACCCATAACCACTCCAGGAGGCGCCTCCATATTGAATTGATGTCTGCAAGCTGCTTTTTAATTCAAATTAGGTGTGGTCTTTAGAACGAACTCCCAAAATCCCTGGCCCCACCTGGTAAGGAAAGAGGCTGGTTTCAATCGTGGCTGAAGTCCATTAGCTGCCCCTTTTCAGCATGAATCTCACACACCCCGTCCTCCAGCTCACCCGGGGCTGCTAGGTACAGACGCAACCATAAGGTTAGGGCTCAGGTGTGCTCCAAAAGCCCCCGGCTATGCTCACAGAGCCTGTCAGCTCCTTCTGCACGTTTCCTACTTGGCAGTTTAAAAATAAATAAATCTTATTTTGTGATCATTAAAACAGGCCGGCTGGCTAGTGGAGTTTAATCCTATTTCAACCAATGCAGCAAAACTAGCCACCTCGCGAGGGTGGGGTCATTTACCTTTAGCCATAAAACGTTAATAGGGAAAATGAGGTGTTTTGGCTCCACTCCTGCTTCACCTAACCTGTGTCCCAGCTCTGACCGTGGCTGGAAGGTGTAAGAACCTGGGGGAGGCCCCTAGCAGTGACTGGCAGGGTGGGAGGCATGGGTAGGCTCAGACCACGCTGGCAGATCACCTGAGCAGGGTGTTCAGAGATCACCCCCTCTACAGAGACTAGCGCAGCCTTTTGACGGAAGGGGAAAACAAGAATTTCACTAGGTGCTTGGCCTAGCATGGGATGTAGCTTCAGGAAGCCTATGCAGCCATTAGCTCACTCAACACAGTACAGGACATGCAAGTTGGTTAAATGAGTAACACACAGAATAGCCTTAGTTCTAACCAGGTTTCCTGCTGCTCTTTTTGTTTTACTTGTTTTCACACACAAGGCTTTGGCCAACATCTCCCACGCTGCTCTTATTAAAAGCCCCCTCTTCTCCCTGGCCAATGCCCTATTTTATAGATTCCAGACCCTCAACTAGTGTAAGTTCATCTGTGCAAACCGAGCTGGAAACCAGAAGCACCTTAAGCCTGGATCAACCAGACACACATTTAGTGCCCAGCTTATTCCCTGGGGATGTTAGGTGGGGGGATCTTCTCAGCTGATGGCTCCACACCCCAGATTTCTCTGGCATACTCGGTGATCGTCCTGTCACTGGAAAACTTCCCCGAAGAAGCAATGTTCTTGATGACCTTCTTAGTCCACTCTCTTGGCTTCTGTAACAAAGATGAAAAGGCAACATGAAACCTCCTGGGTCACAGCTTCCGGAGTGTGACTTACAACAGAGGAGCGAGCTGCTTCTGGGCTGTCCCCTCCCAGTCACTCTATGCTCCCTGTTGGAATAACAGCCCTGTACCGACTACCCCCCCGCACTAGCATGGACTGGGTCAGAGCGTGGGGCAGGCAGCTCGTGTTAACTTTGCTTTGTGAAAACACAACCACACCTATTGCTGCTGCTGCAGCAGGATTCCTTACGCAACAGAACCGAGAGCTGGAAAAGCCTGATAGGTCATCTAATCCAGCGCCCGGCCAGTGCAGGTCTGTTCTCGCGTACATTTACTAGCCTTCTGGCCGACATACTTTTAATATCCAAGGGATGGGGTCTCCACCAGGAGCAGGACGGTGGTTGAGGACAGCTCTGCACTAGAAACTTTTACCAGTACTTTTTGTCAGAAGCTGGGAATGAGCGACGGGATGGATCACTTGATTATTCCCTGTTCTGTTCATTCCCTCTGGGGCACCTGGCATTGGCCACTGTCGGCAGACAGGATACTGGGCTGGATGGACCTTTGGTCTGACCCAGTGTGGCCGTTCTCATGTTCTTATGTACAACAAGTTTCGGTGACATTTCTAAGACAGCAAAGCCCTAGTGCGGATGTAGTTCTATCGGCACAAAAGGACTTGTGCTGGGCTGGCTGATTTCACTTGCTGAACCTGTGTGCGCTGTACTGCCCAGGCTGTCTCTGTACTAGGCGGGTTTGCCAGCAGGGCTACGCCGGTTTAGCTTGGCCAGCAAACCCAGGAGTGGAGACGAGGCCTCGCGTTTACTGTCAATGTTGCTGACCATCCGCCCGTTGGCTGCACCGCAGGGTTATCTTACCCTGTACAACTGGTCAACGCGGCCCTGACACTCCATGTAGGCCTGGTAGTCAGCAAACACTTTAAATCTGAAACCAGAGCAGAGGAGAGAGAGATGCTGAACTCAGATCAGCGCAAAGGATCAGGGTGAACAATTCGTGCTGCCGGAGGTTTCGAGCAGGAAATGTGCCGCTGGGTTTCTCCAGCGTTAGGGGCCGACGCAGGAAGACGACACAGCCTGGAGCTGCTGAATGAGCCTACGCGGCTATCACAGACTGAAGGAAACTGGTGCTGTCTGCTCATAAACCAGTCCAGGGCCTGTTTCTTGGCTCTCGTTTCCCCTGTGCGTTCTGGGAGCGGCAGGGAGATGAATCCCTGGTGTTAGGCCAGAGACGATCACTTGGTACCGGCGCTCCCCGCTCCCCTGCAGAAGCCCCAGGTCCGTGGGTGGGGAAGGGGGGTAGATGGCTGCAGGCCCAGCAGGGCCCCTGGAGCGAGTTCCTGCACACTGGCACCGGGGAGGGACTCCGAGGGCAGCACCGCTCAGAGAAGCCACAGGCTGTGCCACGGGTGCAGGGGCGGTAAGGCTGGGCCAGGCCGGGAGGCAGAGATCCTCCGCATCAGCGGCTTTTGCCTTTAGAGAATCACTAGGAATCCAGGGCTGCCCCCTGCTCTCTTCCAGGGTAGGGGGCACCAGCCCTCTCCCCACAAAGCCACCCCTGCTGCAAGGAGGAGAAGGAAACTGTGGCTTGAGATTCACGGTGTTTTACCCTCCCCCGTGCAGCAGTAACCCAGGCACGGGAGGGTGGGGCCCTGGCCAAACGTGGGAAGCAGCCTGGGCCGCAGCACCAGGGTTACAAGGGCCGGGAAGGCCCCGGCTGGGGGATTCCTTCGCCTGGCGTCCACGTTGCTCTCCAGCCTCACAGTGGTGGTTCGTTCTGCCCCGAAGCCATTGGGGCGTAGGGAACGCTGGGGTGCGGGTGAGCGAGGCCCTGCCCAGGACAGGGCCTTAGCGAGAGGCGACCTGCGTCAGCGCGAGGAGAAGGGAACCAGTGGGTGAAACCGACGTGCACCGGGCCGGGCGTTACGCTGGCCATGCCTGCTGCACACTAGCGCTGGGTACAAGGGCCAGCCGCTGCCCTGGGCTGGGATTCAAAGGCCAGAGCGTGGGGACATCGCTCCGCAGCTGCGTGAAGTCCAGCCCACTTGGCACCGTGAGTGGGGCCATCCTGGGAAGGGGACCGGGGCTTTCACGAAGGGCAGGTTGGACCTGGTCCCATGTCCTTATCTGGACTCCAGCTTCCATGGCCACCCAACTACATCTCCCCAGGCTGGAGCTGGATGGGGAATATTGCACCAGAGGGTCCAGAGCTCTGTATTTCCGGCCTCATCCAAAGGCCATTGAGCCCATTGGCATCAATGGACGAGGGCCATCGTGAGGAGCACCCAGGATCACAGGGGCTTCCACACCGGATTGGAACGAAGGACCAAGTTCACTGGCTCTCACCTGTCGTGGTTCATCAGCATATTGACGACATCCCGGAAGCAGCCAGGGTCTTTAGGCGAGAAGAAGCCGCTGCTGAGCTGGTCGATGGCTTGTCTCAGCTCTGGAATGCGCTCATAGTATTCCCTAGCATTGTACCTGCACAGGAGAGAGGCGCACGCTGCAGCCTCACGTTGGGCTGGAGCAGCTGGGGACTTGTCTCCGTTCACGCTTCCTCCCGCCGGCAAGGGTGGGAGTTTAAGAGCTACTTAAGCAGACCCGGCCTCTCTGCTGGCCCGGACCTGCTGGACTCCGCGGCACAAAGGGACTGCGTGTGGGGTTGGTTTGATTTTTTTAACAAAACTGGTGCTACAGCCCAGATCTGCTGCAGCCACGTACCCCGGCGGCCACCGCTGCTTCCAGGAGCGGTCGGGACTAGGGCTTGTTTCCCAGCGCTACGCAGGGGTGGGGGAAGTCTCACCCGGCAACCTCTGCTAGTTGCTCCTTGGCCTGGCTACGCAACGCAGCAGACACATGACGGACAGTGCCTGGGACCAGGCCCCAGTGTCCCTCCCACCCCCTGCCAGGGCCAGAATGCCACACGGGGGCATGAGCGATGCTCCATGAGTCCCTGGCTCTGAATCCAGCCAGAACGACCTGTTACTGGCAGCCATTCCTGCTCCACTCCTGAATGCTGACTCGGACCCAGGCCCCGTCTCCTTCCCGCACGCGGCTGCACCTACCTCGCCCTCTCCCCTTTCCACACAACAGCTCACGTCCTTCCCCCAGCTCCCGCTCTGGCCCACGGCCGCTCACCCTGTAATGCACAGGGCGATGGGGTATGCGCTAAGGACACTCTGGCAGGGGGCAGCCTGGGTCTCCTGCGATGCTGTTCTACAAACCCTCGCTTGTCCAGCGCCTCCACGTCCTCCACCCGCATGCCGAAGATGAACAGATTCTCCTCGCCGGCTTCCTCCGCCATCTCCACGTTGGCCCCGTCCATGGTCCCAATGGTGAGGGCGCCGTTCAGCATGAACTTCATGTTCCCTGTGCCCGAGGCCTCGGTGCCGGCTGTGGAGATCTGCTGGGACAGATCGGCCGCGGGAATCACTGCGGGGGGGGGGGGGGAGAGGAAGGAGGCAGTTAACACGCCGCTGTTCTTTACCCCTCGTCCCAGGTCTTACAGGGGCCAGCCTGGCACGGCAGCTCCTGGGGCCTGCTCAGTCCCCAGCGGCGGACAGAACGCAGGGCACCAGCTAGGCGCAGAGCCGGCCAGGACTTGAGGGAGGGGGCCACAAAGTCGCCTCTACAGCCCAGACCCAGAGCTCCCCAGCCGCAGCCGAGGGGCTGGGCTGTCACCTGCAGCCAGGCTCTCCCAGTCACTCAGCACACACGCCCCCATCCTCACCCCGCTCCCGGGAGCTGCTATCACCAGCCAGGAGCGCTGCCCCACAGGGACGCGTCCGCCCCCGGCCGGAGTGCCACTGACAACCCCTCCCAGGAGCAAGCAGCTCTGACGAGCAGGAAACCAGGACCCAGCCTGGTCCTTCCCCACAGGAGCCTGGGGAAAAGTGCAACTGGAAAGTGATGCGGCTGGTGGTGGTGGCTGGGGAGCCGAAGGAGAATCCAGGGCCGGGCACCCGAGGACAGGCACGGGCTGCATCAGAACAGGAGACGCCAGAGCAGTGCTACACATGGGCGCACGCTTCTGGTTCAGGGCTGCCCGACCCGACATTCAAACACCCTCCAGGTCAGCCTGCCTGGACCGCCGGGCGAGTTTCCATGACAACGCACAGCCAGAGCTCCATGCCCGTTTGAACGCACAAGGTCTCGGGGACACGTCTCCGGTTCGGCCAGGATGGGGAGCACACAAATATCGCCCTCGGGGCTGCTCTCAGCTGGATCTCACGCCTCCCACCTCGTGCTAACACGAACAGACACAGCAAAGAGCTACACGGGCTGCACTCTCGTGGTGAGGTCTGTTCTGCCTGTGCAGCTTCTCTGGTACTTACGGCGGGAGCCCCCCACGCTTTGAAATCCCGGAGCAGGGAATGCTGGGAAAAGCTCCAAAGGGAGGTTTAAATGGAGCCCCACAACCCTGTGCCCTGCTCTGGTCAGATCCTCCCCATCCCCCCGTCTGCTCCCGTATTCCCCTTGCTCGTGCTTGTTCTCTTACCCATATTTCTCAGCCTGCCCCTGAATCCCAGCACTGCCCATAGGGAAAGCGGCTCATGGTTTCCTCACCAACTGCACAGTCACTGCCAACTCACAGCATCCACGCAGTCCACCCCCTTTGCTGTCTTACCTTTCTCAGCAAAGGACACCCTGTAGTTCTCCAAGAAGATGACTTTGAGTCGATCTCCTATATAGGGATCGTTATTGACGACGTCCCCGATGGACGTGATCAGTTTGATAATCATTTTGGCCATGTAGTAGCCGGGAGCTGCCTGCAGAGGGGGATGGAGACACAGAAAAAGTTAAATAAAGAAATGCACGGTAAGGCGAAAAGGAGAGACTCCCGGGGTGCTGGAACAATGTGTGTAGTGGGGGAGCTGAGAGCCATTGAACCAAACCCTGGATATGATGGACACCGCTTCAAGCCAGGGAATGCGGCAGCCCCCAGCCCCCTCGTTCCAGCACCTCTGGCGATTCCAATCAAAACGGATGTTATCAAGGGGAGTAGCCTAGGCCGGGGTTCCTGGAATGGCCGGTGCACATGAGACGTGAGCTTGATCCGTTCTCTTTAAACGGTTTTTCGACAAGGTGGTGCAAGACCAATAGAGTTTGGGAGCCCAAGTCTTACGCTGTTCACAGGGGCAGGGCAGTGAAAATTCTCACTTTCATTCAAGAGGCAGGGGCCCTGCAGGCTCACACGGGGCTCAACGCTTGCATGTGGTTTTAAAAACGATATGCCAAGGGCTGTGTATTCTGAGATCAGCAGGCACCACAAGCGGCCGCTGCAGACGAGCTGTGATCGCTCCCGAAGAGAAGACAACTACTGACCAGCAGCAGGGCTGAGCAGAGACAGCAGAAAGACTCTTTCAAACCAAGCAGCTGCTCTGGCGCCAGTCCTGGGACACAGAGAGCACTGGACGGCAGCAAGATGATACGGACGCGGCCACGGCGGAGTGAACCTCCAAAGCCCACTGGAGTCCTGCAAAGATCCCCAATGGCAGCCACAGGCTGTGATTCTTCGTCCCCAGGCCAATCCCTTCCCCACTGGCTCCCTCTGCCAGGCCTCTGCCTTCCCCTCCATGCTCTCCCTCGGTGTCTGTACAGCGCTAAGAACGGGGGGCGGAGCCTGTCTTTACAGACCGGAAGCCAGATGGCCAGCAATATATGTCTCCCTCCAGCAGAAGGCAGAGACATGCACCCAATTCAGCTTATTAAACGGTGCTCCAAAGGAAGAGTTAATGAAACGTCTCACCTTTCCTCCGATCATCACCGTCCTTGGCACAAAGGACTTTGATGGGTCTTTTCTCATGCCTGAAAGATGGAGAGGATAAAATGAGAGTAATTCAGGGGTGACGGTGCAGAGTAACAAAGATGTTCTTTGGCTGCCTGCAGTAGCGGCTGGAGGCACCAGTCATGAACAGGACCCTGTTGTGCCAGGTGCTGTACAAATACGTAACATGTGGTCACTGCCTTAAGGAGTTTATACTCTAAGTAAACAAAACTATAGACACCAGATCTGCATCTGCTTCGGTGCTAAACCTTCCAGTCATGACCACCTCAGAGCACCATCAGCATTGCCAGGAAGACACAAGAACTGACATTGACCATCCGCTCCCAGAGCAGAAATTGGGCTCTGGTATTTCTGGGGCACAACATGACCATGGGGTTATACAGCCCACGTTAACCAACAGTAATGTGGGTCTTTGGAAGTTAGGAAAACTATTTGCACTGAAAATACATATTTAGGAACCAAACGTTGCTTGGGAAAGGACCAACAAGGCCAGAGGGGCAGAACTTTGCGAGACAAACCCAGTCTCCCCCCCTCGCCGTTGGACTGGCGCCTCGGGGCACAGCCCTCCGTCCTGCACCCAGAGGGCCCCCGAGACCCAGTGAGCCAGGCAGCCGCGCGGAGAGGTGGGAGTGAGAGCCCAGCTCACGGTTGTAGAGGGTGATGATGTGCAGACAGTTGAGGAGCTGCCTCTTGTACTCGTGAATCCGCTTCACGTGCACGTCGAACATGGAGGACGGGTTGATTTTCACCTTGTACGTCTCCTCCAAGTAGGCCGAGAACTTGAGCTTGTTCTCCTGGGAAGGAAAGTGGGGAGATAGCTGAGTACCCGTCTGACAGCTCGTCTGTCACGGTGCAGCCGGCTGGAAAACAAGAGTTCCTCTGGCAGATTCTCTCTCTGCCCAGTGAACATTTACCAAGTCCCTGATTCACAGCAGGGCCTCGAATCTGGGTTTTCCCATGTGAGAGCCTCACCACCGGGCTGCTGGCAACGCTGGGGTGGGTTTCTCTCTCTCTCTCCCACAATTACTTCCTGGACCTGCGGAGCCTTCCCAACAAAAGTTCCATTGAAACCGACACCTTTCCAGGAAGAGTTTTGGTTTTCCTGAATCGCCATTTTCTGATAAACATTCTGTTGAACAATTCCTGACCAGCTCCAGTCAGGAGTGCTCAGCGCCGTGGGTTGGGGAGTGAGTGGTGATCTCCCACCCGCCCGGGGGTTCGTAGGACAGGTGTCTTCTATCCGCACACCAGACACCTGCAGCCAAAGCCAATGCCACTGATTGCTTGACAAGGGTGCAAACGTACGCGGTGTGCCCCTGTCTGGAAATGCACGAGGAAATCCCTCTTCCTCACAGCTTGAGACAACACTCCAGGGAACCTCTGGGAGGGGCAGACGGCTGCCTGAAGCCAGGACTGAGCAGCGAGGTAGACTGGGGACTGCTCAGGCAGTGCAAGAACAAGGGGACAGTCACTGAAATTGAAACAGCCCAAATTTCAGACAGATCATTGGCAATACCTCTTCGCACAGTGTACAATTAGCTTGTGGAATTCACTGCCACAAGGTATCATGGAGGCCCTGAGCTTAGCAGTATTAAAAAGGGATCATTTATACAGATAACAAGAGTCACACGAGTAAGGGTAAAAAAACCAAGACTTTTGGAAGGTCTATAAACCTTCATGCTCCAGGGCACAAACCAACACCCAGCTGACAGGGGTCAGGAGGAAACTTTCCCTGGGGGCACATTACCCCATAACTGCCAGGCTTTCTTGCACCTTCCTCTGGAGAAGCTGGGCCTGGCCACTGTCAAACACAGGATGGGGTGAGCGAGATGGTCTGCTCCAGTCTGGCAATTCCCAAGTTCCTGCCCAGCCAGCTGTAGAAAGGTGGGGCCAGATGGAAGCTGTAACTTGACCAAGGCAGAGAGAAGCCAAGAGGAAAGCATGAGGAAGGAAAGGGCATAGAGGGGAGCAGAAAAGACAGTATGAGAAGGAGGAAGAATGGGAGAAGAGGGGAAGACCAGATGAGCAGGGGTAGGAGGAGGCAAGAATGGAACTATGGAATCGGGATAAGGAAAGAAAAAAACGAGAGCGTGGGGGGCGAGGGGGGTAAGAAGATAGAAATGGGAGGAACATTTCACTCCCAATGGGGCACGGCCAGACATCTAGAAATGGGGACAAATCCAAAGCAGCCTGTTGCCTCCAGCACGAATCTCTTTGCTGCTGCAGCAAAACCTGGTCTGTCGGGTTTCTTATGTTAGAGCCGGTCAGGAATCGTCCATCGATGGGAAGAATGTTAGAGAATGTTGATTGTGCCAAAATGTCCTGATTTTCCATTTGGAAAATCAAATTAAAACGTTTCCCGTTGGCTCAGCATTAATCTGTGTCCGCCCGAGCCACCGCGGTGCCCCAAGGGATCTGTAGTTCCAGTACATCAAAGCCCATTTCCCCCTATGGATTAGGCTCCTGGCCAGATTACATCTCCCATGATGCACCAAGATGTCCGTTCTGACTGAGCTGCCACATTGCATCATGGGAGTACCATGAACACTATGCATCATGGGAAATGTAGTGGCCAGGGAGCCCAGCCCATAGGATGAATGGGCGTGAGGTACCCAAACTACAGCTCCCGCGAGGCAATGAAGCAGCGCAGGCAGGCACAGGTTAACGCTATGCTGCCCTGAATCAAAGTATTTCAAAGTTTCTCAATCAATATTTTTCAGAACTTCTCATTCTGGAATGAGTTTTGGTATTTCAACTTTTCAACCTGAAATGGTCCCGTTTCAACCAAAAATGGGACAATCCTGCACTGTCGGGGGAATGGGCTAGACCGGCTAATGGGTCTTTTCCATCTCAAGATTCTGTGGGCCCAGTTCTCTGCCGGGTGAACCACCACTGATGTCAATGGAGCTGCACCCATCTGCCCCCAGCAGAATTTTCAGCCTGAGAACTAGGCTATGAACTAGTTGCCCTGATGTCCACGTTACCTGTTTGACTTTGGACACATCCCGGATAAACACCTCGTCATCGACAAAATCCAGTAACGTCTTCAGCTGGCTCAGATCCGTTACAAAATCTTCTCCGATTTTCTAAGGAAATAAAACCGGAAATGAATGTCCTTTGCTGGATGTCTCACTTGCTGCATAATGTCACTTCCCTGCTAGAAATGCCTCAGTCCTGACTGGGAAAGAAAAAAAAAGACGGGCTTGGCAAAAATATGGCACCAATTATCGTGGTTGGGTTATTACTATGCATTGTTTTAGAGTTTAAATGTATTGGGAATAAACGATTGGCACAAAAACATTTTAGTCTATCACACAATTCCACAGCACTCCCATACAGCTAAGCAAAGAAAGGCTGTATGTGCCAGGAATTACTTCCAGATGGACAGAGTATTTGCAGTGTATTATCAGCCACTAGATGTCTTAGTATGCTGTATGGAGTTCCTGGCAAGGCGTTGTCCTGGTAAACAAAGGAGACAAAGCTGGAACTCAAGCTGTGTCGGAGCCGGTTTGTGTGAGTAGCTGTAGATATTTCCTTTAGTGCATGCCCCATTTAAGAGAGACTGTCGTTCCATATATCATGACACCAAGGGAGGTGATGCTGTTCCGACAATCTATCCCAGCGGTTCTCAAACTTTTGTACTGGTGACCCCTTTCACATAGCAAGCCTCTGAGTGCGACCCCCTCTTATAAATTAAAAACACTTGTTTATATATTTAACACCATTATAAACCTCCAGTTTGAGAATCCCTGATCTATCCTCAGCCCATGGGAAGATGGAGCCAAAGGTCAGCAGTTCTTTGATTAACTCCTGATAGCTGATTTTAAAGCTCAGCCATCATTGCATGTGTGTGTCAGATGTTCAAGAAGTGAGACAGCTGCCCCTCTAGCCTTGCCTGGAGCTACGTGGACTGACACCTGCTGAAGATCTGGCCCCATCTGTTTACACTGCTCTGAAGACTATTTTGTGAACAAACACTAGGGATTAAGTAGCTCCCGTTGGAGTGGCTCACCTCAGCAATTACACCTGCTAGTCCTGGGTTGCACAGCAGGAGCCAGCGCCGCGGAGTGATGCCGTTCGTCTTGTTCTGGAATTTCTCTGGTTCCATCTCATAGAAATCTTTGAATCTGAAATGCATGGGCAGTAGGGGAGACACTGAACAGGTCCATTCCCAGAGGCGTTTTATAAAACTGTAACCTCAGATGCTCCTGACTCTATTTACAACTCCAGCTGAAATCTTTCTGTTGACATCATGGAACTGCACTAGGCCCTAAATGCATCTGATAATTACCTGTGAGCCTAGCTGCTGAAACTGCGATTCCAAACCTAGGCGATGAATCTACCCGAAGTCTGCTTCTCTCTCTTGCACAGAGCCCTGATCTAGAGTCCCCTCCATCACCATGACGTAAGTGCCTGCCCCCTTCCTTTTTAGGAGCAAGTGTGGGGAAGGGGTTTGCAAGGGTGGACTTAGATTTTCAAAAAGCCTTTGACAAGGTCCCTCATCAAAGGCTCTTAAGAAAAGTAAGCTGTCATGGGACAAGAGGGAAGGTTCTCCCATGGATCAGTAACTGGTTCAAAGATAGGAAACAAAGGGTAGGAATAAATGGTCAGTTTTCAGAATGGAGAGAGGTAAACAGTGGTGTCCCCCAGGGGTCTGTGCTGCGACCGGTCCTATTTAACATATTCATAAATGATCTGGAAAAAGGGGTAAACAGTGAGGTGGCAATGTCTGCAGATGATACAAAACTACTTAAGATAGTTAAGTCCAAAGCAGACTGCGAAGAGTTACAAAGGGATCTCTCAAAACTGGGTGACGGCAACAAAATGGCAGATGAAATTCAATGTTGATAAATGCAAAGTGATGTACATTGGAAACCATAATCCCAACTATACATATAAAACAATGCGGTCTAAATTAGCTGTTCCCACTCAAGAAAGAGATCTTGGAGAGATCTCTGAAAATATCCACTCAATGAGTGCAGCAGCAGTCAAAAAAGTCAACAGAATGTTGGGAATCATTAAGAAAAAGGATCGATAAGACAGAAAATATCATATTGCCTCTCTATAAATCCATGGTACGCCCACATCTTGAATACTGCCTGCAGATGTGGTCGTCCCATCTTAAAAGAGAGATATTGGAATTGGAAAAGGTACAGAAGGGGCATAGAACAGCTTCTGTATGAGGAGAGATTAAAAAGACTGACTTTTCAGCTTGGAAAAGAGACGGCTAAGGGGAGATATGATAGAGGTCTATAAAATCATGACTGGTGTGAAGAAAGTAAATAAGGAAGTGTTATTTACTCCTCATAACACAAGAACTAGGGGTCACCAAATGAAATTAATAGGCAGCAGGTTTAAAACAAACAAAAGAAAGTATTTTTTCACACAACACACAATCAAACTTCGGTCTGAACCAGTACGGCCGTTCTTACGTAACCGAAAGCTTTGTATGGCCTGCAGTCTCTCTACTGCTGGTGCGAGGAGGAAAGAACCCAGCTTGACTCTCAGCTTCCAGGCTAAGTTTACAGGGCTGGGCAGTGAGGAAAAACAGCCTTTCCCTGGCAAAGCCAGCTCTGAACGGGAGGCCGCTCTGCGGGTGAGTCACTCACACGGAATTCTTCACGATTTCGGAGTGAATCCTGGCCACCCCATTGACGGCGTGGGAGCCGATCACGCAGAGGTGGGCCATGTTAATCCTCTTGCAGTCCCCTTCCTCGATCACGGACATCCTGCGCAGACGATCTAGGTCTCCGGGGTAGAGGGCGGCCACGTGCTGCCGGGACACACACACACACACACAAACAAACGTCAGTGGCGCAGCCTTAAAATGCAGACAAGGGGCTAGACTGTCACTGGGGCTGCCCCCAGCCTGGGGGAGTCAAAGCCCTCCTGACTCTGCTGGGGGGGGCTACTTGGGGTACACCCCCCGAACAGGGGGTGCAGCTGCTGCTCTGCCACTCCCCCAGTGCCAGTGAGAAGCAAAGGGGGGGTGACTAGAGCAATGGGGGGCAGGGAGGTACTTGCCTTGGAGCAGGAGCGGGGTCATAGCGCCCCCTAGGGCTGCTCCTGGGTGGAAAATACCCCACATGTTTACATTTTTAGGGGGTATTTTCAAAGGCAGACGGGGCACCAAGGACCCACAGGGGCCTTTACCAGCCACTCCCCCCTGAAGGTGACAGGGACCAGCCGGGCAGCGCTGGAGGCTAAATACCGCTATTTATCCACTGAGAACCCAGCACAGCGTCCCGAACCACGCAGTACAGGGCAGCCACGGGGAGAGACGGCAGAGCCACTGCCTGGCAGGGAGTGGCGGCTCAGAGCGACAGTGATGCTGAGCTGCAAAGACTCGTCCGTGGGACGTGCGCCAAGAGCAGCAGATCCACGCCCTACAGGCCAGGCCTGGGCTGTGGGACCTGGACGAGACGAGGTCCCTGTCAGCAGGGGCTAGCTCCTGGTCCCGAGCCCGAGCCCCTCACATCCAGATGTCTTTGGTTGATGGTATAAATGATCTCCAGGTGGCGCGGCAGCAGCTTCTCGAACATGGTGACTGGCCAGCGCTCCAGGGCCTCGGGCAGCACGGTGTGGTTGGTGTAGGCGCAGGTCCGCTTGGTGACCTCCCAGGCCTGGGGAGGGACAAACACACTCACATCAAACAACTGAGACGCTTGAGTCTGACTCCATTGGGCTCATTACTGGGGTGTCTGGGTGAAATTCAACAACTGGGTCAGACTAGGAGCCCCCGCAGGTGCTGGGCTGGCTGGTCCATGTCCTCAGGGTCTAACTGAATCTTCCCCCAGGTCACCTCGGTCCCTCCTGTTCCCTGCCCGGGGCACAGGATTGTCCAGTCTGCTTTGGGCTGCGATACCCTGCTCGGAGTTTGGTTGTCAGGTGGTGCTACAGGCTGTCTGACTAACTCAATGGCTGGTTCCTTCTGGCCTTAAACCGTCAAACTGTGACAACATCTCAGAGCAGAGGGGTGGCATTGCCCAGAGACAGGGAATCTCTCTCTCACACACACACAACTGACAGCACCAGATTCTGCCGATATCTCTAACAGCGCCGCACAGTAACGACCTTTCAGCGCTCAGACCGGCTTGGTGGGGCCCACGACAGGTTTTTCCGTCAGAAAATGCCGACTCACGGCCCTGCTAACAGGAAGGGTCAGCTCTGATGAATCCCCTGGTCCCAAACATTTTTAAGAAACAAAAATTTGGGCACTGTCGAAAGGTCCCGTTTTAACCGTCTCAAACCCTAGAAAGGCGCGTATTTCAGTTCATGACGGTTTCAATTTTGTAGTTAATTTATACTAAAAAAAAAAAAAGGTAAAAAACAAGATTTAAAAGGTCAAAATCGAAAGGAAACATTTCTGTTGGCCCAATCGGAATTTGCATTTATTTATTTATTTATTTATTTATTTTTGGTTCACAAGAATTTTCGAGATTTCAAGTTTTCATCCTGACCTGGGACAGGAAAACGGTGCTTCAGGTGCACGTGCGCGCCCCTCGGGCCTTGATCAGAGCTGGGCTCAGGCTGGAGCACGCGAGCATCTACACTGCAATCCTATAGCCCTGCTCAGCAGCCAAGGGCCAGCCGGGGGCGTTTTACTGCAGTGCAGACATACCCCAAGGCTCTGCCAGCGTCACCCTATAGGCCAGTGGCTCGGCCCTCACCTGGGATGTGAGAGCCCCAGGTTCAAATCTGCGCTCCAATCAATAGCTATATGAATTTACTCTGACGCCCATTAGCCCTGGGCCCTCCAGAAGCTCTGCCAGGCCTCTCCAGTCCCACAGCTGCTGTGAGAGCAGCCTCCCCTTCTTCTCCGGGAGATCTCTCCCCGTCACCCCTGGCCAAAGCGTGCCGGAAGGGGGCACTTCCTGCCCAACAGGAGAGTAACCAGGACTCCAGTTACAGCAAAGAGCTCGCGTGTGTCGCGGGGGGGAAACAGGACAGAAAGTGGATCCAGCTGTGGGGAGGGAGGGGGACGATATGGGAGAAGTGAGCGCAGTGGAAATGGAGTGGGCGGGACAAAGCCCTGGCCGGGATGATTTAGTTGGTGTTGGTTCTGCTTTGAGCAGGGGGTTGGAATAGATACCTCCTGAGGTCGCTTCCAACCCTGAGTTTCTATGATTCTATGGGAGGCGGGGAGAGGGGAAGTCCCAGCAGAACAGAAAGAGAGGTGGAGATCAGACAGCAGGAACTCAGCAGGAGAAACTGCGGGGCGAGAAGCTCTTGGGGAAGACACGGTCAAGAGGGACCCTGGCCGCTGTGGGCAGCTCCCCCATCGCTGCGGAGAGGAAGCAAGAGGCAGCGAAGCCAGGAGGGCTCGAGCGGGAGAGTAAAGTCCCCACAGAGGAGGATGCACGACTGGGGAGAGGATCAAAGTCAGGGTTAAACGAGGCTCTCCTGGGTCTTGCCAAGGCCACCCTCCTGCAAGAGTGGGCAAGGCAGGGTCTGAACACAGGCCCGGCCCAGCTCTGCCCCCTCACACTCACCTTCTCCCACTCCATTTTCTCCACGTCCACAAGGATCCGCATGAGCTCCGGGATGGAAAGTGCTGGGTGAGTGTCGTTCAGCTGAATGGCGACCTGCAGCGGAGACATTCCCAGGTGAGACGCACTCACGGGGACGTGCTCCTGTGCTCCCAGGGCAGTCCCAGGCCTACACAGGCCCACACTACACAGCTTTGTCGCACAGCTATATCAGCGCTGAGCATGGGAACTCCCCCCCGCTAGCCGACATCACAATGCCAGCAAAACACTCGGTGTAGACACAACTATCCTGAAAGAAACGTCTCTTCTTTTGACATACGGGGAGGCGGTGTAGCTATGCCAGCAGAACTCCAAGGTCTCGAAGTCTTCACTAGAGGTTCTGCCGGCACAGCTATACCAGCCAACGCTCTGTAGAGCAGGCAATCCCCCAGGGCAGTTACAGAGCTAATTCAGCGTCCATGGCCATCACCACCTGACATGCACAAAGCCTCTGGGAAGGGATGGATGCCCAGGAATGGCTCTAGCAGAGCTGGCCAACGTGCTTCCAAAAATTCAAATGACAAAGGGGCACATTTTTCACAAGAAACGTTCACTATTTTGAAAGCAGCTGTAGGGGCTGGATTTCAACACCTAAATCTTTGGCAATGTGGTCCCTAGTGCCTGCTTTGGAAAGCGACGTGATGGAGAGAGGCGGCATCTGCCAGGTGCTCACCTTGTCTGGGAAGGTCTCAAAGCATGTCCTGACTGGGTCTCGGGAGCCGAAGTTGGAAGACTTGAACCGGCGGATGATGTCCTGCAGGGTGGCAGCTACCACGAAGTATTCCTGCTTCAGCCGCAGCTCCTTCCCTTCGAAGAACTAGACACACAAGGCCCAGCATCAGCTTGGCTCGTGCTAGCATCGCGCTGCGGCTAACCGCCACCTAGGTGCAGTGTGACCTGCTGGGGGGCCTCCGAGCCGAGTGGAACGGCGCCCATCGACTTCAGTGGGCTTTGGGGCAGGCCCTAGATGGCCCTGGCTCCTGCTCCGGCCCCGGGTGAACGTTCACGAGGCACAATCCACCCAAGGGGTGAAAAGGCACGTAGGGAAGGCGGTCACTCACATTGTCATTCGGATACAGGACTCGGGAGATGTTTTCTGCCAGGTTTCGATCCAACACAGCCTCGATATAATCACCCACATTAACTGAGGAGAGAGACAGCACGCAGGGCCAGACAGCCATTAGGACGACACGTTTACCTTACCCCCTAACACACACATGCCTTGGCACGTGTCCTTCATACAACTGACAGTAGGGAAGGAGGGAGGGAGCTAGGACCTGATCCCACTGACCCTGGAGCCAAGGTCCTTCCAGCTGAGATCAGAGCCCCGTGGCGCGAGGCGCTGCACATAACACAGTGCCAGTCCCGGCCCCGAGGAGTTACAGACTCGGCAGACAAGACGAAGGGTGGGAGTTTAGAGCTGAGGAACTGAGGCACAGAGAGATCATGTCACTTAACCGAGATCACAGGGGGCGTCTGTGGCAGAGCTGGGACCTCACAGAACCAGGGAAATGTGGGGCTACTTCGGGAGGTCTCTGCGTGGTCTGTTTTATCCAGGACTGGCCAATGAGCAGCGCTGAGGTGCACTGGATGACCAGGTGCAGTGGGGGAGATGGGGGAGCAGGAAAGCTTGCTCAGAGCAGGCTGTTAAAATGGCATCATTCCTGTTTCATGCCAGTGCACGGCCCAGTCTTCACACACCTGCCAAGTTTTCTGCGGCTCCACATGACACGGTATGCAAATTATTGAAAGAGTCCATTTACATATTTATAAAGTCTTTGCATAACCTCAGAGACTTGGGCTTATGGTCAGTAGATCCTGCCCCAAGCCCTGGTGGGGAGGGGCCTGGTGGAGCAGCACAGAACTGGGCAGCTCTGAGGCTGGGCAGGAACAGGGGTGGGTGGGTAGGTGGGAGGGTGTCCTAGGGTGGTGGGGGAGGGGAAGAGGGGTAGCTAGAAGCTGTCCAGGTTTAGTGGATGGATGCTGGGGCATCTGGGACAATGGGGGCTAGCTGCAGTCAGGGGGTGGCTGTGTAGAAAGTGCTGGGATGTCTGGGGTAGGTGAGTAGTGGGGTGTCTGGGACAGGGGGGTGGGTGCTGCGATAGGCAGGTGCTGTCTAGGAGAAGAGCGAGGGTCCCTCAGCAGGGGAAAGAGGACTTCCTGAGGCCCCAGGGTCTGGCAGGGGGAGCCTGGCACCGAGCTCGTTTTCTGCCCCACCGCTGCCACCACCACTCCTCACGCAGCAGCCTCCAGCAGCATGAGGCCAGAGAGAAGCAGACCAGCAACCGGAGGCAGGCTCAATGGTGGCCTCTAGCAGCCACAGGTGGAACTGCAGCTTCTGGCCCATTCAGGTGGAGCTGCAGGCATGCGGGCAGGGCTGGGAAATACAGACTGTGGCATGGGGTGTGTGACACCTGGCAGCCTGGCCTCATTGCTCCACACCTGCATTGCAGGTAAGTGGACTGAAGGCTCAAATTTACTTGCCCTCCAATAGAACTGACATCTGAAGATTCAGAACAATTTTTATTTTGGCCAGAGATGCCAGCCCTTCCCTAACAAAGTGGGAGGACCGATTTAAATATACCCTTGTGTGTTATGTTTCATTTACAGTGTGTTTGATTGTATCTGGGGCCCCACTCCGCACACACACACACACACACACCCCAGAGACCCTCCCTGCCCCAGCGAGCGTCCAAGGTAAGCAATGAACAGAAACTGCAGAGAGACAGCACTTACACTCCTGAAGGTTGAAGTCATTGGGTGCTTTGGCAGACCACAGCCTCATTGTGTTCACGGTGTTGTTCTTGTATCCTGGCACGGGGGTATCATAAGGCATGGCAAGAACTACCTGTAAGAGGAGAATACGTCACTTCCAATTAGCTACAGGATGTCCTCAGGGTACAAAACGGGCAAGAAAACAACCCAAACTTGTGTGTGTGCGCGTACATTTATAAATAGTTTATACATAGTTTATAAAGGGTTAATAAGTGATGAAGAGACATAGTGTATTCTTATTCTTGTAGCAACAGCATCCAAGCAGCATGTGTTATAGATAGAAACTAGCACATCAGTAAAAGATGCTATCGATGATCATAAGCAACCTGTTGACCTTTAGAACTGCTTAACCATTTTTTAAAACATCTATTCATTATTCATTCACGTGTTATAAATGTACCTCAGTGGCCATTAAAATCCAAACCATCCTGCAGAATTCAATATAAAATTATATCTCTGCTATAGATGGGTAAAAAACCCCACTACAGAAAGGCTTCTGTTCTCTGTTTCTAAGCATGATTCCCCCAGAACCCCAGTAGATGTTTATTGAAACGTACTGGTTAAATTCCACAGGACCGGTATGTAAGGGCTGCAAGTGAGCTATTGCAGATGCAGTAAACTGCAATCACAACTACACCCATCTAGGCCTTGACCCTGCAAAGCCATAGGTACATGCTCACCTCTAAGCACGTGAGTATAATCCTGTTGGGCTTGTGCTTAAAGTTAAGCATGTGTGTAAGTGCTTGCAGGGTTGGAGGATTTGCAATGGTCTATCCCCCTGTGCTTCTTGGACAGTCTCCCAAGAAACACTCCAGGGAAACATGCGAGTTCCCTTTCCCCTGGCGCAGTGGGTGAGGAAGAGACGGTCAGGGGGGAGAGACTGAAGGTTCCCATGAAAGCCACAGAAACAGCTCAGTTGGAGCTGGGGAATCGTGGAATCTGAAGGCTTCCTGAGCAGAGATTCCCCAGTCAGCACTACATTGCCCTGACTCCAATTCCTCAGGAGAGCTCATCGCATGGCTCAAAACCTGCCAAGCAGCACATGTGGGACACCGTGACGTTTACACATCAGAAAGGAACAAAATAAGGGATGCAAAGGGCATCCAAATGCAGGCCCCGATCCTGCACAGACTTAACACGTGCTCAGCGTTAATGCTGTGAGTGTACGGCACTACATGTGGTAGCACAATTTAGCACGGAAGCGTTTGCAGGATGGGGGAACCCATCGTAACGGAGATGTGCTGTCGGCTGAGAGCTGTGTGACTGCTCTTCTGAGCGTAATGCAGCAGTAATGAGTTGGTATTTGCTTGTATGACAGTGCTGCCTAGGAACCCGAGTCACGGGGCAGGGCCCTGTTGTCTGGACAGGATACCTGGGCCCAGAGAGCTCACTATCGGGAGGTTTCCAGATACTCTTCCAACGGCAGAGCTCCAATTTTAGTGCAGGGAAGGATACAGTAAGAGGAACAGCTTACGTCGAACGACTCTGCCAGGGACACGTGTAAAGTGCTGTTCTGCCCTGCACCGTGACGCTGCAGAAATGGCAACGTGGGAAGCTGGGTTTGGGATCGACCAACGGCTTTCAGCTTGCACGTCCCAGGCAGGGCTCAGAGTTCTGCTGCATTCTTGCCATCCCCAGCATGAAAGATGCTGCAGGATAAATTCTGCCTTGTTGCCCCTACTGGATCAGAACTGGAGCATTTTGAACCCAGTTGGCTCAGCTGTAAATGACGGCCGCAGGCGCAAGAGGGTGGGGACCAGCCCCAAGCGCTCAAACGTCATGAGTCAAGCCCCCAATAACCACAGGCCTGGCTTACACATCACGAGGTTGTAAAAATAACACACTTGGGGCTCTTCTGCTTTATTTGTCTTCTGGTATTTGAGCCTTCAGAATTCGTATTTTCAAGCTTTTCCCCACTCCCGTGAGGATTAGACACTTACTGCTTTTTAAAATGAAAGCTAGGAGTCTCTCAGAACCAGCTGACTCCAGGAGCTGGGGCTTTAATGAAAGCACCAAATTTCCTGAGCCTCGCAATCCAATGGAAAGAGTGGTCACGCTGACAGCCCAGGATGAGTTTGTGGGGCTGGCACTTACAACAAACAGCCTTTTACCTGCAGGATTTGGGAGAAGGGGTCCAAGGAGGAGGGTCACGAAGCTCGAATGAGCTGTGTTACACCGTCAGACCCACGTGCTCCTTCCCAGGCAAGGCTAGTTTTATTCCCGCTAGCTCCCGAGGCGGAGGGGCAATGCTTAGCATTCGGGTGCCGCTGGCATTTGTGAAAATCAATTTAGGTGCCTAACCGGGAGCCGAGTCCTTTTGAAAATCCAGCTCCGGATCTGGGAGCTGAGCACTCGAAAATCTTGTCCCACGCTGCCAGGCCATCAGTTAATGTTTATTTCCACCCACACATCACATTCCCCTGCAACATATGCTGCTGTGTGACTCAGCCGCTGGGTCCTTCCTATTTACCAGCAGAGACCTAGAGCTCGTGATGCTGCTCTGAGAACGAGCAGCATCAGCAGCCGGAACAGAAAGGCTCACTCCGAACTCACATCGGTTAGTATATTAACCCTATCTTAGAGATGAGGAAACTGAGGCACAGAGAGATCAACTGACTAGCCCAGCCTCACACAGGGAATTGTGGCAGACATACAGGTCTCCCTGTTCCCAGCCTTACCCCCCTGAGCATCTTCCCTCTTGTCTAGGGAGCATGCAGTAGAGGCCAGGTTCTGGTCCAGCAGGTGGTATGTAAATAGTATGGGAGGAAGACTTGCCCTCTCTCCTGTTGGGTGCCTCTCTGGGAAAGCACCCAGGACTATATGCAATAAGCACTGTTATCTGGCAACTTCTGGATTCAAAGACCAGATCTTAGAAATTCACACTTATTAAAACACCCGGAAATCAAACGTTTCAAGCCAGGTGTGAAATTCTGGACCCACTGAAGTCAATGGCAGTTTTGCCATTGACTTCAATGGGGCCAGGACTTTACCCCTGTTGTTTAGGTCACTTGGCTCCCCTAGCAATATTACGGTCTATCATTTTAAACACCATCTGCTTCTCTCTTCATAGCGCTACTCTCATTTCCATCAGTGCCACTCAGGGTTTAGGGCCCAAATGTGCTAGGCGCTGTACAAAACACAGGATAAAAGAACATATCCAGCAACTGCAAATAACAACTAACTAATCTTCTCCACCCAAACCTTCCAGACTACCTAAAGCCACAGAGAAAATCCCATAAAAAAATCTCCACAAACACTGTCTTTGAGATATACATAGCCAGAAAAAAGGGTTGGAAGATTTGTCCCAAATTGAGGGAAGAAAAATAAACCACCCACCATGAGTCTAAATCCCCACCAACCTGCACTGGTGTAATCCGGAGTGGCTCCACTGAAGTCTGTGTAAGTCAAGGGAGAATCGGGCCCTGAACAGTTTGATGCTACGTATGTTACTGCCGCCTGCCTGATTTGTCTTGGCAAACGATCATCATATGAAACTGTAGGCAGTTCGGTTTAGAGTTGGCAAAGCTGGGAGTGGGGCTGGGATCACGTTTCTAACGAGAGACCCAGCTTCAAACTTAGTTCTGGACAGACCAGGGTCCCTCCCTGGTCGCATCTGGGCACGTCACTACCATTCCCACAGTGAGTGGGGATCTTTATACCTGAGTATCGATCCACTTCACGCCCTCCGCAGTGTGCTCCACTCGGCCGTAGAAATGCACAGGAAGCATATACTCAGGGCGGGCTTTTTCCCAGGGGTTGCCATAGCGCAGCCAATCATCGGCTTCCTCCACCTGAAACATACCAGCAATAGACGGTTATTCTAGCCATGGCCGAACTAGGGCTCTGATAAGAAGGAGATTCTTGTAATCGGCATTTAAAAACATTTTAAAAAAAAACTCCAAGCTTTAAAAAGGAGTTTTAAAAAGAGACACGCGAACCTCCCTGAACCCCTAACCATTAATGGCTAGATCCCCCACTGGTGCAGATCGGTGCACTCCACTGACCACATGGAGCTGTTCCGTTCACACCAGCTAAGGATCTGGCCAGTAACTCTAGACAGCAGCATGGGCGTCCATGTTGGTTGTAACTCCTTGATTCGTCTGCCCAATGGGCACAGCTGAGAGTAAAAAGACGGGGCTCTGTCCGCCTGGTCACCCCGCAGACTCCACCAGCGATCTGAACGCCCGTCAAGCGCTTCCTTTGCTCATGAACCATCAGCCGCAGTCAAGATTCTGCAGCGTGTTGCGGTGCTCATGCCAGCAAAGAATCCAGCCCTTTCTCCCATAACCGCGCTGGCTTTGCAGGGCTAGCGTGAGTAACAATGAATGACACAATCATTTGGGTCAGTAACGTAAGCTGCTGTCTGTCACAATACACAGAAGGACCGGCCCTGCACTGGCACGCTGGAGATCCGGGCTCCGTTCCCAGCTGTGCCACAGATGCCATGTGTGACTTCAGACAAGTCACTTCATCTGCCTGGGCCTCGGTTCTCCACTCTCGGTCTATTCAGACTGCAAGTTCTGTGGGGCAGGGACGACCTCTCCCTACGTGTCTGCAGAGCACCACACAGAAGGGGCCCTGCTCTCCATTGGGCCGTTAGGCGTGACAATACCATCCACGATCGATTGTCAGAACAATCAAAGGGAACGTTACAAACCGAATGCTGAACTGCCCCACCGACAGACCTGCCAGCCATCGAGAATCTTCTGATTAAATATGCCAAATTCGTATCGGATCCCGTAGCCATAGGCTGCCAGCCCCAGCGTCGCCATGGAGTCGAGGAAGCAAGCTGAAACATCAAAGCAAAAGATCCCTCTTAGGAGCAGGTTTGCAGAAACCCAGCTAGGAGACCTGGGCCCGTGTCCACATCTCAGCCCTGTGACTCGCACGGGGCTACGGGCCTGAGACAACCAGCAGCTTTTCCTTTTTGGGACTCAGAATTTTTCAAAACTTGTGCACAACCAAAGGGCTGAGGCGTGTGTGTGTGGGGGGGGTGTTGTGAATTTCTAGCCTACTTTGGATTAGACTGTGCAACAGTCCCAAGGAGTAGCCGCCCTGACATCAGAGAGCACGGTGACACTCCGAGGGGTGTGTCTGCAGAATCTGACCCCCGTTGGGCTCCATTTGTGAGGGCAGGGGGGCAGAGATTGATCCGTTCTCCAAGGAGCTTGTGCGGAGGGAGGGAACTGATGGATTCGTTGGGAGAATGGATGGGGTGTGTGTACACACGTGTGCACCTGGGAGGGGGAGGGATTGATGGATTTGGGGGAGCTGTTTTGGGGGAACCCACTTGGTATTTTTATGCCCCCCATGCACGATTGTTTCTTTGGTTCTTTGCCAAATACCCGTAGGCAGGTCTGGCTGGGCTCCAGCTCCACTCTCCTGCCTCTCACCACAAAGATGGGTGCTAGGGGCTATCTGAGCCCCGCCGTCTCCTTCCAAGGGGAAGCAGGGAGGTGGAACTGGAAGCTAGCCTAGGAGCTGGGGGGCATTTTCCCATGCTCCTGGTGGGGGCAGTGACTGGAGGCTTGGGCGTGATGCAGAAAGGGGATATCGATTCCAGACATGCCTCCCCGGGGCGGGCTGGGGCTAGCTAGCTACTCTTTATAAAGTGACACCAAGTGTGACTTTTACTAGCATCCCCAGCACTAGTAAGTGTGTGTCAGGACTCTGTGGCTAACAACCAGCTCTAAGGTGGATGGGAGCAGCAAGAGCTGGTCTTGACACAGGGCTGCAGGGTGCTGAACAGCGATGGGGACAGTCCCAGGGCAAAGAACAGTTCAACAGCCCCGTCTCAATGTGAGTTCAGCACAGCTGTGGCCAAAATGGACCAGAGCACGGCCTGGCGGGGGTCAAGTGTTTTATAATCCAGTTAAAACCAAGTCCTCGTCCCGGGCTCTCCCTGAGCTAACGCAGAGCTTTCAACTTCCCATGGCTGCTCCCGCAGCAACACTAGTGTGGACTGACCCCAGCACGTCACGTAACCTCGCTGCAGCAGGCCGAGGTGACACACTAGCTAAAATGACAGCAGATGCTGGCACCTTGTCTACACTAGAGCTGCACCCGTGTTAGCAAGGACGGCAAATTTTAGGGGGGGGGGAGGCTAGTGTAGGCAAGGCCTTGGGCCTCCTCCTGTGCTAGCCCAGACGTGTCAGAAGCCAGCTTGGGCAGCTGTGCCTAAACCACAGTCGTTAAATGCAGTTAATTGCCCTTTGTAGAGGGGGGCTAATCGGGGAGGGCAGGGGCCACACTGCCAGGCGGCCAAGCCTTGCAGAGGGTATCACGGGGACTACAAAGAACAGGGCGTTACCTGCCAGGCGACCCAGCCCTCCGTTACCCAGGCCAGCATCTTCTTCGATTTCTTCCAGCTCCTCCAAGTCCAGACCCAGCTGTTGAGAAAGCAGCAACTTCAGCGCCAGGGCATCACCCCCACCGAGCCCTGAGACATGCTTCCCTGCAGCCCTCCGAAGGGGAGAAAAAACACACCCAGGCGTCTCTCCCCCCCAGCCAGCTAATTCCTCTGACAAATGACCCTATCCCACTTCCAACCTCATTTTTATTAGGATCTGCAAGTTTCCTTAGCTACAGCAAACCACAAACGCTTCTTGGCTGGCAACCTCCAAAACTACAAAGACCTCTAATCCGGGAAGGGATGGCAATCAGCCAATCAATCACTGCTGGCTTATTTGCATAACGATTTGAGGATGCTCCTTCTTTCCAGGGTTAGTAACTGTACCTTGAGCCTCGAAGGATTCTGGGGCTCGGGGGTTTCTTAGCCCAGAATATGGTTAACGCCAAGTTCACAGGTTGACCTTGCAAGTTATTCCCGCTATGCTGGAATATCCCTCAATGTTCTGGCTCAGAACTTCCCAGCTGAAAGCCAGCAACAAATATGGCTGCTTCAGCTTCTGACCTTCCAAAACTGTCCGCTGACCTACCCCCAGCATCAATCTCCCCTTCACCCACCTTCTCCACAGCCACTCAGGAAGGCCAAGTCTCCACTCCCATCACTAAAACTAATGCCTAGGGCTGGCTGAAAACTTCAAAGATGATTTTTTCCCATCAGAAAATGGGGTTTTGTCAAAGTTGAAATTTTCAGTGGGAAAAGATCAATTTCGGCAGAATTTTCCATTGGGAAAAATGGAAGCAAAATGCTTCATTTCAGATCTGCATTAATCTCTGCATCTGCCAGAGTGCATCATGGGAGATGTAGTCCAATGGGGGAGCAAGGCCCACAAGAGAGACTGGGAGCAAAAAGGACTCAGAACTACAACTCCCAGGAGGTAACAGAGCAGGCTCAGGGGGGTGCAGAGATTAATGTGGACCTGAAACAAAACATTCTGATGTTTCTGAATTGAGATTTTTCCAGAACTTTCTATTCCATCAGAAGTTTCAATATTTGAAATCGGGATGAAAACAAATGTTGAACTGTTGGAATTTCCCGCAGGACAGAAATCCTGGTTTTCTATCATCTCTTCTAATTCCACTTTACATTCACTTTAAATCTGGGGATAGCTGGTTACCGAGAGCAGAGTGGGATCAGAAGATGAGGCTGCCATGTTTGCTGTCCACTTATGGAGGAGCAGTTCTGGGTGTGATTATTTTGCCAAAATAATCCCTCGCGTGGAGGCAGTCATACTGGCACAAAGGTGCCTTACACTGGTATAGCTTATTCCCCTTCCCGGTACTGGAATAGCTGCACTGCTATAAAGCACTTTTATACTGGTATAACTGTGTCCACACTAGGGCATTGATGCCACGTTAGCTACACCAGTATTGTTAAAGCAGCACAACTTGTGTGTGTGTGTTGACAAGCCCTTGGTTGACCTAAAAGACTTTTCTTCCTCTAAAGGGATGTAAATGGTGTGGATGGGAGGGAAAGAATTACGTAATTACACATTTCCCCACAAAGCCCTGCCTGCCTTTCCTATTACCGATGTAACAGCAACTCCACCTAGCAGCTCCCGAGTCTTGCACTTTATTTAGACCAGAATTTGTTTTTTATTTCTAAACAGGGAGCACCATTAAGTGACCATTTAAATACAAAAATAGCTCACTGATCTAATACACAGATGTAAACCACTTGTCAGTCAAGGCTCTCAGAGCCCTGCCTAGGGAGGAAGTGGTTAGAGCACTAGGCTAGGACTCAGGGGACCTGGGACCTATTCACTGACCTTGGGCAAGTCACGCCAACTCCCTGTGCCTCAGTTTCCCGTCTGTAAGAAGGGGATGATAATACTTTCCTTAGGGGAGCATTATGTGTATTAATTAGCAATTGTCAGTAGATTGCTTTAAGTAGTAAAGTGCCAAGTATTAACGAACATTCAGCCTCTGCACTATTATGCCCGTTTTACGGGGAGTGACAGCAATGAAGAACTTTAGCGTCGGTCAGAGACACTTACTAACGTGTGGTTTTTGGACAAGTCCAAGTAGGTAATTTTGGGTGTGATTTATTTTTTTTAACCAATATAATTATGCCAGTACAACCCCTAGTGTGGACACTGTTACACCCCATACAGGCATGCAGCTAACCACCAGAAGCACATTTATACCGGTATAACAGCGTCCGCACTAGAGGGGTTGTACAGGAACAGCCATATCAGAATAGTTACAGCAATGCAACTTGTGTGTGTAGATGCGGTCTAACTGTCTCCTCCTTCAGCAGGGCTAGCACAGGGATGGATTGCTCAACACCTCTCCAAGTCACGCTATCTCGGCTTGTTGGGCTTAATTTCCAGGGGGCTTTACTGAGCTGCAGTTGTGAGCAAAGGCCAGGTAGCGAAAGGAGACTGAGGGCCCATGTGACAAGGCCCTGATCCCGGAATGACCTCAGTGTGGGCAGAGTCCCAGTGCGGTTCGGGGAAAGTGCAGTGCCATGTGCATGTGCCATGAGCAGGATCGGGGCCTAAGCCCCCTATTACTAGCAGAGGAAGCTACTGCATGAAGAGGTTTCGAGTTTATTCCTTGTGGACCCTCCTCCCATTGCAGTGTATTGTGTTACCAGCAGCCTGCGCATCGCACACTGCAGACGGATCCTGCAGCAACCGTTTTCCATCACAAAAGCTTTGTTACGATCAACAACCTCTGAAACAAAAATATCCCCAAGCCAAGCCCAGCCTCTTGAATCTTTAACGAGCTGGATGATAGCTTGAAATGTATGTGTGTATCAGACTTGCTTCAAGGACAGAGGGATACTGGGGCCTCTGCCAAAGTCACTAGCTTTCATGAGTCACAGTACTTTCAAGGGAGCAATAACATTAGACCAAACGTGGGTAGATTAGATGGAAACTTCAGGATGCTGTAAAATTAATGAGCTTTGCACAAGCCGTTTGCTTTGGTTACCGATGGCACAAGGGGGAGGAATTAGAGAGAGAGAGAGAACAGTGATGCGGATAAGACGTGGGCCACATGTGTATGTTACATCTCCATTCCTGATTCTCCGTTTGTTCTGTCTGGTTAGGCTGTCAGCTCTGGAGGGCAGGGTCACGCCGCTGCCCTGGTCCGTGACACACCAAGGACGCTTGTGAGGCTACAAAACAATGATGAGCCACATGGGTTTGCATTTCCCTGCCTGCCCCTGGGTTTTGACAGACTCCTGCCCGGTTCCCCCTCCACACAGGTTCTCTTCTGGAAGAGGCAACTCCAGGGAAGCTGGTGGGAGCCGGAGTGGAGCCAGGCGGGGATTCAGTCACAGGAATGACAGACTCATAGAAACATGGGGCTAGAAGAGCCCATCTCGTCCAGCCCCCTGCGCTGAGGCAGGACCCAGTAAACCGAGACCCTCCCTGACAGGGGTCTGTGTACAGCAGTCAGTCTTCAAATGGAAAGTGGGTCTGTTGCAGAAGCACTGCACAACTGTGGGAGAGGAGGGACGGCTCCATTTTCCTTCCCTTACGATGCTTCCAGTCCCAAGGAGGCCATGCTTTGCACAGGGCCGCACCACGCCGGGGTCACAGACACTTCGTAACAAGCTGCCACAATGGCGTAGGCTCTACAGCCCGGATTCCCAGAGGGATTCAGGCTCCGATCGACACTGAAATCAATGGGAGCTAACCGAGGGTCTGGGCCTGGTGCCCTGGAGCAGGCTGCAGCCGTGTCTGGGCTCTGCAGGCTGGCTCCAACACCCACCGAACTCGGCAGAAAGCCTCCCAGTGGGGCTTCAAACCTTGGGCCTGAGTCTCCCCTCACTCCCCCTGGTGTGAAGTACAAGTAAATACACTGAGGCCAGGGAGTTACACTGGTGTAACTGAGAGGCCTCAGCTGCCTCTGATCAATGGCTGCACGAGTACAAGAGCCCCCGTTGGGCGGCTGATAGTCTGGCTTTAGACCCAGAGTGACCCAGATAATAACAGGTGCCCGGTCCCAGGCAAAAGCCCTGGAGCAGGACATTTAAACAGGAGCGATACATTTACACTGGCCTAGTACATTGGCGTAAGGGACAGAAAGCTTTTGAAGGGGATTGTCACAGGGCATGCCGGCCCTTTAAGAGTCCTGGGGCTCAGCCTCACCTGTGCCAGGTGTAGCTAGGGTTACCAATTCTGATTGGATGTATTCCTCGAGGTTTCATCACATGACAGCATCTTTAATTAAAAGTTAATCTTTAATTCCTGGAGACTAAAGGACAATCCTGGAGGCTTGGCAACCCTAGAAACTCCCCAGGTGAAGGGAGTGAGTCCAAGGTCATGTGATGGGAGCATGTGACTCAAAGCCAGGCCTGCTGGGGGACATATAGGCAGCCTGGATTCAGAGAGTGACTTTTGTGAGCCCCCAGGCAGCAGGCCTGGGAGAAAGTGACACCCTAAAGAGGCCGGGTTTTCAGGCCAGGGTGACCAAAAACATGAGTTCTTAAGAGAAGCTTTTATTACAGAAATTGCATCATGCTAAACGTGCCATGATAGGCCCTGATCTTCCGAGCTGCAGTCACGTGAATAACGTTTTGTTGCGGGTGACTGCACGGGCATTCATTGAAATGTTTCTGTTTCCAATTTTTTGGTTATTTTTTTCATCAGAATAACGACCTTTGACCAACTTCCCCTCCGCCCCCCAAAGTACCGACATTTTAATGAGAAGTTTTTCACTTTTCTGACAAGTTATAGAGCTGGTTGAAAATTGAAAAGATTTGACCAACTTTTGAAAAATCAATTAAAAAAAAAAAGTCGTGAACATTTTCATTCACATTTCACTGGTTTTGACCAGCTCTACGTGGGACTATACGAGTGTGGTTGTAGTTAAGCATGTCTAAACATTTCACTGTCGTGTGCAAAGTGCTCAATGCCTTGCAAGATCAAGCCCCGAACCATTATCCAGCTGCATCACTGAAATGGATTGGTGTTTTGCCACTGTCTTCAGTCAGAGCTTCGTCAGACCCTGTGGATCCCAACTGACGCTAAGAGAAAATGGGGAAGGGAGCTGGCTGGAAAATGGGCTTTCTTCTGGGGAAATGTTGACAAAAATGAAAACACACATCGTTTTCTGTAGAAAATTCAACAAAAAGTGACTTTTCAGTGACAAACAAAGCTTTTCTTTTCTTTTTAAAACCAAAACCTGAAATATTTCTACTAGTAAATGCTGCGGTGGTGCCTCATGGGAGTTGTAGGAAAAGCCTCTCATGTTCCCATTCTCCTCTCCAGGCTCAGCTCCCTGGTCAGACTACATTTCCCACTATGCACCGTGATCTCCCCTCCTGGTGATAGCAGGCAGTTGCATCATGGGAATCCTTAGCTATCATGCATTATGGGAAATGTGTCTGGGTGGGGAGCACAACCCATTTAGGAGAATGGGGACATGAGAAAACCAAACCACAACTCCTAGGAGGAAATACTTTCATTTACAGGAGTTTGGCTTTTTGATGGAAAAAAATCAAAATTTTCCATAGAAAGCAGACGCGGCTTAAAAAAATTAGTTTTGTCAAAATCAATTTTCTTTCTAAACAAATTTTGGCAAAAAAGTTTTGCTCAACTCTAACCAGGACTTGCCAGAGAAATTTACCTGGTAAATGGCTTCATCACAGACATTCTGCATACCCAAGTTCACCATTGTATTCTGCAGGGTGCGGCCCATGTAGAATTCCAGAGACAGGTAATAAATACGCTGGTGGAATACATCAAAAGGACAGAAGGAAGAAAATTAATTTTACTTCTCAGGCTGAGACTTTGCAACACAAAGGGGGCTGAATACGGAGGTAAAATGTACATATTGTATGAAGAAAAACTAATGCTAATGCACAATTAAGACTGCAAAAACGCAATCCGGTCCATTGACAGACATACCGCCTCTTGCTCCAGGACGTGCTAACAGCAAGGACAATTAGCACTGGAACAAGTTACAAAGGGCTGTGGTGGAGTCTCCAACTCTGGGAAGTTTTAAATCCAGACTGGATGTTGTTCTAAAAGCTCTGCTCTAGGAATTGTTCTGGGGCAGGTCTCTGGCCTGGGCGATACAGGAGGTCAGGTTAGATGGTCACAATAGTCCCTTCTGGCCTTGGAATCTATGAATCTTTGTTTCTGAATCTGTGCTCTCTCTCTCAATAGCTCTTCTGATTTTGAGCCAAGCACTGATCCTGCCTCAAAAGGACGTCTGAGCAATGTGCAGAGAGGGACACGCTCCACCAGACCCCGGGAACGGGAACCGTCCCCCTATTCTTGCCCCTCAGATCTAAAGAGCGGGGTTTGTATTTCACACGGAGGGACTGCGTCCTCCCCTATACCCAGCAGCAGCAGGGTCGGATCCTTTGCCAGAAAACACCCCCCCTTGTTAGCAGATGTTGATCCCGCTGGGGAATGTTAAGTGGGTTCTGCTGACTCTGGCTCATTATCCTACTCAGATAGGAGAGAGGTGGGAGTGACACGACCTCATCTCACCCTAGGAGCTGCCAAGCCTGGGAAGAATATTTGCCATGAATTTTGGTGATCTTTGTTTTCATCTCCTTGTTAATAAAGCCAGTCCCTGGTAAGCCATCAAGTGTGGGCTGTTTTAGAGCAGGCTGGAAAAGCTATAAAAATATCGTTCATTGTATTAGTTATTGGTGTGAGAGCACCAGTGACTCCCACACTGCATACGTGCCCCGTGCGAGCACCAAGGTCATGTTCCGCTGTGCCTTGCTTTGCCTTTTGAAGAACAGTTTCTGAAGTGCGTCCTACCAGCAATGTCCCCCATGTGTTCCTCCCCAAAAGGAGGCATGCAGCCATCAAGCAGTCCCTCCGAACGCAATACACTTCATTGTGAAGAAGGTTCACGTCAGGTCTCTGTGCTCAGATGCAATTCTCAGCTCGCCTCGATTCAGGACAGCACTAGAGCTGGGGAGGGAATTGTTTTCCCTTTTCCGCATTGGGACAAAACAAGACCCTTGGAAGTTTTTTTGTTTGTTTGTTTTTGGGGGTTTTTTTGGTTTGTTTTTTTGGAGAAAGAAAGCGAGCACGCCCCTGTGATGTGGGAGGCCCAGATTCAAGTCCGTGGTCTGAATCAGGCAAGCCCAGACCTGGACCTGGGTTCCAGTCCAAGTGCGCCAACCATTAGGCTATTGGCTATTCTAGGGTGGGTCTCTCTCTTTCTCTCTCCGGTTTTCACCAGGAATTCCATCCTAGGTCTGAGAAATCTTTCCCCAAAATTGGATTGAAACTGGTACATTCCCGCAAAAAGTTTCGCTTTCATTGGATTGACATTTTCTGACCCAAAAAAGTTCCATCCAAAAACTCCTGCCTGGCTCTAGTGAACCCACGCTTAACCCCCTTGAAATCAGTTAAGGTGAAGCCCCTCCCGTGATAGGGAGGCTTTCCTGGATTGTAGCCCTGCTGCCTGTTGCGTAACATGGACCCCGTTTTGTTTGTCAGAGAGATTCTTGAGAGGAACTTGTCAGCCGAGTGTCCCTGTGCCTATCTCTGCCCAGAGCATGATTTTGCTCCAGCAGCTGCCATTTTCTGATAAGATTGTTTCCCCAATTAACTCAGAACGCGAGTGATCTGGGAGGCCTAGCTGTATATTTATAAAACCGTTCTTCACAGTGAAGTGCTGCTTTTTCGCAGCTGAAATGCCACGCACAGGGCCTGTCACATTCATTTAAGATTCCTAATTGTATTCACCAACATGGGCCTGATGCAAAGTCAATGGGAGTCTTCATCGGGCTTTTGATCAGGCCTATGCCAGGAGCTATTTCCTAGTCTGACGATCACCCCTGTTGAGACGTGTAGAAATAAATCAGTGCCACGCCGATCACCCACTATGAGAGTCTGGGAATAAAAGGAAAGTGCAGTGCCTGGGTTACGCTCAATAAATATGGACTCAACTTTCCACAACCATTTTCAGCACCACGCATCCCTCTGGGGTCTCTTGGGGAGGGCTGGAATTTTAAATGAATCACATGTTCCAGGAGACTTGGCTTGCTAAGGCAGATTAGGGCTGAGAATATGTCATGGCTGGAAATCAGGGAGTGTCAAAAATTATTGGCCGTGGTTTTGGTTATAGAGGGCCATGGGGTGAATTTCATCCTAAAAAGATCTACCCCACTGTTCTGTTTCAGCAATTCATTTCACACAGTGAATGGGTAACTTGAATTATTGATCCAGTTGCTACGTCAAACCACCCTTCATTTTGAGACTGTGGCATTATTTTAAGTATCACTTGTCTTTCTACACCATCATTGCAACAATACAAGAGCCATGAGGATTTATGGGTTAAACAGCCAGACTTGTCTGATCAGCACGGTGCAACAATATTAACTAATATTTGATAGGGACATAAACATGATAACAAAAAGTTAAATGGGAAGATGTTCCCCTCAGCTTCCATGAGTCTGTCTGCAGCAAATGGCTTTATCCGAGCCCATTTTCTCACTGGATAAATATTTGACCAGCATCCGTTCTATGGATCATTTCTTCTTTGGAAAACACCAAGTTAAGGAAGTAGGATAAGCAATAACATTGGTTAGTCCCCTCCCACTCTGACTTCAATACGTTTCATTCCTTTAAAATAAGCAACTGGTACACAGCCATGGGGTTGCTATTATATTCTTTCCAGCATGTATAACATGCCTAAGCAGGAGCACTTGTTTGGGGAGACCATCCTAGTTTTAAAAGAGCCATATTTTGCAGTGTGATGCATGCTAAATAAAGCCCATTTGTAGGATTCATATCAGGATGTGAGTGAATCAAACTAAAAGAAGAAGTGGGTGACATAGAACCAAACCATTCCTTTTACAGCACTAGGAAACTGTCCTGCAAGAAAACCAGGATGTATGAATCAAGGTTCACGTTCTCAGCTCGTGTACAGCAGCTGAGAATCTGGCCCCAAATTCCTATGTTAAACCGACACCGTTCAAGGCAAATTTGACCTAAATTTGAGATTCCGTAAAAGCTTACAACTGTAGACGTGTTTCCATTCATTTTTGTTCATTACAATAGAAACAATTTTCTTTTAAACAGATACCTATTTCTCTGCAGTTCTGGCACTCAAACATTACAGCACTCTGCTAGTATGAGAACCTGACCGTGAAATCGATTAGAAACTGTCTATCAGCAGAAGTGAAACCGACTCGCCCATTTCCATTGGCCAAGATGAGAGGAATAAAAAGTGTCAAAAGGCACAGAGAAGAGTCTTTAATGTTCTCCATTTTAATAGTCTTCTGCAGGTTCCCATATCACTTCATGCCTTGATTTGACTAAGCTGAGAGTAAATATGACCATGCAATGTTTTAAATCTTTCTTCAGACACTTTTCCCTGTATGCCTCCTAGTGAGCCTCTGTCCAGCCTAGTTTTTGAGTGTGCCAAGTGATGCAGTCAATCGCCTGCAAAACACTCTCTCCTTCCTTGTATCTCCCTGGATTAAGAGGAAGGATGGTGCATATTTGCTCTTCTGAATGAGGGACAGAAAAGGTACTTTAATACAGAAAACATGGAATGCGCTCTTCATCTAAATCTCTACTGGGCGTATATTATGCATGAAACAAACACAGGGTTCTGCAACGGTACCTGGTCCAATGCCCCCTGCAGTCTATAGCCATGTCTATATGAGAGACTTTTGTGGGCAGAGCAAAGGCAGTGGCTAAAGTATGATTTTTTGGGAGGAGCGGAGGGTGTCACATTTCTATACCAGCAAAATCTCTAACGTAGCCACAGTAATAGCCGCTTAACGGTGCTCTTGCCAATACGTCTTATTTCACTTGCCGAACTGGTATAGACTACAACAGCAAAGGAACTTTTCTGACAGCATAAACTGTTTACAGTAGGAGGCTTTGCTGGTATAGTTATTCCGGCAAACTTTTCTAAGGCCTACCTGGCCTATGGAAGCCTTTCAGTGCTCACTGAGATGAACAGAAGCACTGGCCTTTAATCCAGGCTGATTATTTGAGCGGACAAGTGTTACATTTCCTGATTTTTGTAATACAGCTGTTCTGCTGTGACATGCAGGCGAGTGGTTCATTTCACAGCTGCATTCTTGTACCGCTTTCTCTCTTTCCTGTTCCCCAAAAGAACTAAACAAGCATCGTTTCCCCCTACAAGGATGAAGGAGACAACCCGCTGAACTGGGTGAAATTCTCTGGCCTCCTGTTATAAGGATCAGACTAGATTTATGAATCTAGGTCAGCCCCACGACTTGGCACATTTAAAGCTACACTGGACAAAGCTCTAGAAGCCACACACGGAACAACCCTGCTCTGACAAGGGGATGGACTAGATCAGCATTTCTCAAACTGGGGTCCCCGAGGGTATTCCGGGGGGTCCGCGGGCCCCACTGATCAACTCCTCCCCATCCCTCTATCTCCTGGAGGCTACTGAAGCCAAACTGGGAGATTTTAGGCACTAAAAGTCCGGCGGCGCAGCAGGGCTAAGGCAGGCTCCCTACCTGCCATGACTCTGCGCCACTCCTGGAAGTGGCTGGCACATCCTTGCAGCCAACCCCCTGCCCCAGCCCAGAGCCTGCACCCAAACTCCCTCCCAGAACCAGACCCTGCACCCAAACTCCCTCCCGCACCCCACACCCCCTCCCGCACCCCACACCCCCTCCCAAAACCAGACCCTGCACTCCCCCCCGCACCCAAACTCCCTCCCAGAGCCAGACCCCGCACCCCATCCTGCACCCCAACCCCCTGCCCCAGCCTGGTGAAAGCGAGTGAGGGTGGGGGACAGCAAGTGACGGAGGGAGGAGGGATGGAGTGAGCGGGGGGGTGGGAAGAGGTGGGGAAGGGGTGGGGCCTTGGGGGAAGGAGCGGAGTGAGGATGAGGCCTGGGGCTGAGCAGGGGAGTTTGGGGGTCCCCAAAATTTTTAAAATCAAAATGGGGGTCCTCAGGTTGCTAAAGTTTGAGAACCGCTGGACTAGATGACCTGACAGCTCTTTTGAGATATAATTCTACAACAACGCAGGCCTTAGATGTACTTGTTCTGCTTCCTTCGCAATTGCTGTAATATCCCTTTCCAAACAGATTACTGTGTGATCGCAGTAACGAGCCCCAAACCTGCCAGCAAAATGCAGCACTTTGGCCAACATCTGTCACTCTTAAAACAGGGATTCTTGACCCTCTAGGAAGTGGCAGTGCTGGGTTTGCCCTCTCTGGGCTTCAGAAACCTCTGCCAGGAGAATAAAATATGCAAATCTGAATCGCTGCTCACACAAATGTCAAGCTGGACTGAGTGCAGCGTGCCAAGGTCTCTGAACGCAGGACAGGACACCCCGTATCCGGGCCCTGGGTCTCGGAGGAGTGACCGTCTCCCCACGGAGCCCCGCGGACTGGGGACAGTGCTGCAGGGCTGGACACCTGCCTGTCCAGCCCGTCACTGTGACGGGTCAGTCGCCGGCCCAGGCTGCGCCCGCCCAGCCAGGCTACTGGGAGCAGAGCTGCAGGGTCACCCCGCTTGTGGGGGCTCAGGCGGGGTGAGCAGATGTCCAGATTTTATAGGGACAGTTCAGATAGTCAGGGCCTGCCACCTCCCGGCCCCCTCGGCTCTCTGGGCACCCCAGCGCCGGGACATCCCCCTGCAAAGCCCCGTGTCCCCCCCACCCCGCAATGCGCCCCCAGCTCTGCCGCCCGAGGCCCCCGCCCTACCTTGGGGTCCCGCTCGTAGTAGCACTGCTGGGTGCGGATCCAGCGCCCCACCAGGTGGTCCCGCACCGCGTGCGCCAGCGCGAAGAAGTAGTCGCGGGGGGTGGCCACGTTGCGGTCCTTGACCAACGTGAAGTGCAGGTGCCGGTTGAAGCTTTTCCGCACCTCGGCCACGTCGCCCAGCCCCGCAATGCCCCGCACGCTGATCTGCTTCCGCTTCTCGCTGTCGCTGCGGGGCGCCGCCATGGCCGGGGTGCGGGGCTCGCTCGGGGCGGGGCGCTGCGGGGCCGGGGCTCGCTGGGGGCCGGGAGTTGCGGGGTCGCGGCTCGCTCGGGGCGCCGCCATGGCCGGGATGCGGGGCTCGCTCGGGGCTGGGCGCTGCGGGGCTGGAGGCTGCGGGGCTCGCTGCGGGGCCGGGGCTCGCTCGGCGTTGCGGGGCTCGCTGCGGGGCCGGAGCTCGCTGGAGGCTGCGCTGAGGCCGGCCGGCGCCCGCTGCGGCAGTGGGGAGCCCGGCGCCTGCGCGCTCGCCAAGCCGGGGGTGGGGGGAGCTCTGCAGCCTGGCCGCGAGCCCGGCGAGCCCAGCCCGGCTCGCAGGCGCCGAGCTTTTGCCACGCTCCGCCCCGGGCTCCCCCTCGCCGGGGTCTGCAGCACCAGCCCGGCCCCGGCCCCAAAATCCGAGCTCGCCAGGCCCGCGCGGGTTTAAAGGCTGGTCCCCAGCGGCCCCCCCGCCAGCCCCAGGCAGAGCCCCCAGCAAACGGGGCGGGTGGTTCCCTGCCCGGTTCTCTCGCTTTGCAGGGAGCATGGCCCGGGGGAGCTGCTGGCCTCGGCAAAGAGGTCCCCCGTCACCCCTCCCAGGAGTAAAGGTAACAGCTCCTGTCCCAGTCGCGTTGTATCAAATCCTGCACCCCCGTTTTTCCAAGTGACTTTGGTGCCCCCCTTTCAGACACGTCTAGAGGGCCGCGTTTTCAGAGCTGCTCTGGGCTTTCTGGAAATCACACCCCTTCCAGCTGGGAACCCACAATCCCCAGCCCTAGAAACCAGGCAGTGAGGTATGGAGCCTGCACCACTGGCTTCATTATTCCTAAACCCTCCCTTAGAGCTCCTGTCAAGAGCAGCTCTTTCAAAAGGGCACAGCCCCCCTTTCCCTCACTAGCTCCCAGTCTCCTTGACCCACCAGTCCCAAGCTACTCCTTTCCCTCTCCCCACCACCTGGTCCAGCCCTTGTTCCCCTCTGACTTCCTCCACCGTTGCCCAGGTGCCAGCAGAGGAGAGGGGTCACAGAGCATCGAGGGCACCCTGCTCTTAGTTCTGGTGCCTGGCCGCATCTGAAAGCAGCTGGGAACAGGAATTAGCGCAAAAGTCCAGTTTTGGCCTAGTAACCTGGGCTGGAGGGAGCACACTCAGAGGCTCTGTGAGGATGGCGCAGTCCAGTCATGGCTACGAGTGGTGAGGGGATGGAGCATAGCCAGTTGTCTGTAGAAATGGCACATATGCAGTGTGGCGAACACCAGGAGCTGTGAAGGGATAAAGCATGCTCAGTGAGGATGGAATCTCTGGAGATTTTAGCTGCTAAAATCTAAGTCTCTACTGAGCCCATACAAATGGAGATTTTTCAAAAGTTTGTAGATTGGCCAGATTTGAGCAGTTCTTCACGGGGATGGCAAAAAGGCACAGCTGTAAAACAAAGGCCACTCCCTGCCATATGTCAAGTCCTTGTTCGAAAGCAAGGGATTGCTGGAGATTCTGAAAGAAAGGGTCACCAGAGTGTTTGTTTGTTTTTTAAGTTGCAAAACATTTCCCCCTAACCTTGTTCTCAGAAACTGTGGAATAGTTTGGCTGAAATTAAAACTATAAATACATAATTCAGTTTCAGACAGACAAGCAGCATAGAAAATTTCAGCCCAAATAGTTAAAATTTGGCAAAGTAATTAGCAACCAAAAACATGGTCTTCAAATCGGAAGTGCTAGGCAACCTTTAATAGACATTGCTACCAGCCCCTATAATATTAAGGGCACAGGAATTGCCAGACTGGGGTCCATCTAGTTCAGCGTCCTGTATGACTGTGTCCAGCATCAGTTGCTTCAGAGAAAGAGGAAAGACACTCCACTAGACGCACATCATAACCCACAGGGAAATTGTCTTCCTAAGTCTTGACAGTTAGTAGTTGATTTATGGCAATGAAACCAAGCCCAACCCTTCTTAAGGTAAGCCCATCGGTATGATCCTGGTCAAAACAAAGATGGAAATACCATTCATGTATCACACTTATATAGCAACTTTCATCCCAGGACCTTGGTATGTATTCAGAAGTTACCATGTTGCAATAGAAGAGGCTAAGATGCAGTGTTTTCCCACTAACGTAAGCTGCTATCAGTGCAATGACCTGTTATACAGAGACAATCACTCCACAGTACCACACATTAATCCAAACAGGAAACATCCCAATTTGTAATTAACATTTTATTGCCGATAAAATAGTTTTCAAATATTCATCGTACATTCACATACATGCTACTTTACAGAGAAAAAGCCAATGACAAGCAGAGCAACATTTTAGAAAAATCTGATGAGTTTCCCCACATGGGTTTTACACCAAGTTTGTGCTTCTCAGGCAGTGAAGATCTAGCTTTATTCATTTAAGGTCTAATCCAAATTCCTTGGATAGACTTCTAGTGACTGTATGGGGCTTTGGATAAGGCCCTTATAAAACTTTAAGAACCAGCTAGTGTCTATGCTGACTACGTATTAACATGATGCAATCCACTACTTATGGATAACTTACAAATTGTTTCCCTATTGCACACTGTTAGGAACAGTCTTCACTCTGTATACAGTACACTGATAGAAGTGTTGCATTCAAAGTACCAACCACTTCTGCTATGCCTCCTGCTTCCTCACAGGCCTGTCTTCTGCAATCCATGCTCAGTGCAGCAACAATACATTCATTTATCAAAGGAAGACAGAGGCACTCCAAGCACGGTTTACTAGAAACAGTCTTTAAGGTTCCAAACCAGCCTTGTAAAAGCCACCCCAAGCCTGGGTGAAACCCACAGATACTCTTGTGTGAAGTTAATTAACAAAGAACTACCCCTGTTCAAGCACCAACAAATCTCAAGTATATGTGGACATGTGTTAGTACCGCCTCCCAGAAAAACACATGACAGATTCCTCTCACCATCATTGAAGGTTAAAATACATGCCCTGATCCCCTCCCAACACACAAATCTAGGAACTACCCGTTTTACTATTTAACACTTCATGTTAGGGTGACTCATACCAACTGCCCAGGAAATCCAGCAGGAGGGGACCTGAGGAAGCAGGTGGTTGTGGCAGTGTGTCCTCCAAATTCTTCCACTTGGGAGTGGTGGTAAGGGTTTGGCCCCCCAAGCCCTGCAGATCTCAGGGGAGCAGCAGGAGGCTGCCACCCCTATAGGAGGCCTGTACCAACTCCAAAGCCCCGTCTCCCTTACAGTCCCAGTAAAGTCACGCTGCCAGGGACTCCCCTGAAGGACTGAAATGGAGTTCCACCACCCCACCTCCAACAGCAAGTGCCGAAAGTACCTCAGCCTTTAAAGGCCAATGAAGAGCTCCCATAGATTGCCATGGGCTGTGGCTCAGATCCTTAAGTGTGCCTGTCACCTCCACAATACGGCTGAGTTCTGCTGGAATGGGCAGCCCAACGCTCAGCCATACTCCAGCAGAGTCAGGTCTCCCACGCTGCATTCCAGAGCCAACATCAGCTCTTACCAGCTGCTTGGCTAGGCAATGCCATTGTCTTCACTTACCGACATTAATTCTCAAACATTTAAATAGTTAAAAATTCACCAAAGAAATACATTATAAATCAGAACCATCAAAGAAGAGGCCCACCTGGAGCAGCCATTTCTAACATTGACCTCAGCATATTACAAGCAAAAATGACACAGACATGTTCCACAAAGGTGTACTTTTCTCACAGAATTTGTAGCTGCATTGTGAACAAAGCCCCTCAATGAATCCCAGAATTCTCACCAAGATAATCTAGTTTAACATCAAGTCTTCTACAGACACTGCAAGATCAAGGAGGTATTCTTGAGCTGCCATGCTCTACATTTTCATAAATTGGGAGTTTGGGTGCCCGACTTAAGATCACCTTTTAAAAGGGTCTGATTGTCACAAAGAGTGAGCAAAATCAGTCACCTGTAAGCCACCTTAGGCTGGGTACCCATAGACTGAAGTACTCAAATCCTTTTGAGGGTTTAGGCCCAGAAGCCTTAGTATTGCAGCCTGTGAAGTGAATCAAGGTAGTGAAAGGTGGCTCCCAAAGCCCAGCTTGTTTCGACATTGTCAATTTTTTGGGCAAGCTAGAAAGAAAAAAGGAGAGAAGTAAAACCACTGTTGTGTGCGTACATCACTAGCAAGTTGAGAGGTATCTCAACACAGCGCTGACAAATATTACCTGAAACGCCTGGCTTTTGGGGAAGCCCAGTTCTTGCAGTAACAAACTGATATAGGTAAGGTCCATGCAAAGGAAAGGATTGTCTCCCGGCTTCACCTCCATGGTCTTACACACTAAGAAGAATGAAGAGAGAGAATTGTTGTTTATAAATCCAAGAATCTATTAAAATCCCTAAGACAGGTTACTTTAGCCTCCCTGTGAATGGGTGGAACAGAAACAGAACAAGGAAAAACAGGCCAAGATTTTCAAAAATGGCTGCCTGAAGAGAGTCCACATTTAGGAACCTAAGGAAGTAGCTTATTTTCAAAAGCACCACAGTCCCAAGATTGAAATTGACAGGTGCTCAGCACTGGTGAAAATCAGGCCACTTATTTAGGCACCTAAATATGGACTCAGGAGCCTAATTTTAGGCCCCCCAGTCTTAACACCCTTTTCATCAATGGAGCGTACGTCTACACCAGGGATCGGCAACGTTTGGCACGCGGCTCGCCAGGGTAAGCACCCTGGCGGGCCGGGCCAGTTTATTTACCTGCTGATGCGGCAGGTTTGGTCGATCGCGGCCCCCACTGGGGGCGGCGGGAAGCGGCGCGGGCCGAGGGATGTGCTGGCCGCGGCTTCCCGCCGCCCCCATTGGCCCGGGATGGCGAACCGCGGCAAGTGGGGGCCGCGATCGGCCGAACCTGCCGCGTCAGCAGGTAAATAAACTGGTCAGCAGTAAATAAACTGCTTACCCTGGCGAGCCGCGTGCCGAACGTTGCCGACCCCTGGTCTACACTTTGGAATCTGTCTGCATAACTCTGTAGTGTA